TGCGTAGGTCAGCTTCAGACTCAGTACTTCAGCACCTCTCACCATTTCAAGCAGTGTCATTCTGAGTTCCATTCTTTAATTCTCATCAGATCTAAGAATGAGAATTGCTGTATGAATTGGAGCAGTTTTCACTTATTCATTCTCTTCTGCAAAGTTTTTTATTAAGAAAAGTAACCATTTACCCAGAAGATTTTGTTAAAATGAATTGTTGATAACAGTGATTTTGCTAGATAACAATCTCATGCTTAATCCATTATTTCAAAATGCAATTGTAATACACAAAATGAAATTAAAATGCCTTTCAGAGTCCACATAGAAAACCACAAGTTGGTGGTGCTCTAGCCAGTGTGACCTGGTTTTTGTGTCTCTTTTGGGCTGAGATATTAGTATATGCCTTGTAGTGATCTCTGTCTGTGGCATTACAGTAACACCATCCTCAAAATAAAGTCTCTGCTCTTTGTTACTGAGGTTTTAGATGGAGAACACCTATCTTCAGATGAAGCTCTTAACCCATGTTATCATGTAAGATAATGTAACGTAGAAATTGTACTGCAAAATGGAGACTGTAGTGCCCTATCAGGTCACTGGTGTGTTGAAGAATTAAGACTTCAGGAAGCAAGCCTGTGCTGGGTTCACACAAAGCCATTGGTGTCTTGAGGTCAAAGGAGTACCATCCTCTGGTTCCCTCTGTCCTCCTTTTCCAGGTGGAAAGAGAATAAAAGTCACCTTGCTAACCCATTGGGATCTGGCTTGCAGTTTCTTCTGCAGGTCTATGAGCAGAGATAAAGATGGGTTTAGCATTAATCATTCTTAGGACTGGATTTAGGTGTGTAGTCACAATTCACCAGAAGGCACTTGCACAAGCTATGAAACTGCTTCCTCTGTCATCTTCTATTTACCTGTTTTAATGACTGGAAACAAGAGTGTTGGAATTACAAAACCAAATTATTTTACTTGGGTTTTTTTTGTTACCTTTCTTCTGGCCAAGATATTTAAGTTGTATTTCTTTAGGGTGCCCACTTGTTGATGCTGCACTAAGACTACAGCTAAGTTTGGAGAAAGGTCAGTTTGATACAATGGTGTTTTAAGTAGACAAGAGCAGCTGTGGCTGCACTGGCTCTCACGCTGGGAACTGATGTATTGGGGTTCACAGGAATTCTGGGTGTGAGTTACGTAGCTTGGTGGAAAACAGAAACATAGATCCCTAGGGAAGAAAGGGTAAGATAACTTGAAATGCTGAATATATGAAAGACTGAAGTAGAAGGAAGGACAGAAGGAAGTTATCATCTTCCAGATATCTGAACTGAAAAAGCCTTGAGAGATGACTGAGGAATGGTGTCAGAAGGGAAAACAAGCCAGGCGAGGTGGTGAAGGCAAGGTGTAGAGCCCTGAAGAAAAGCAGATGCAACTGCTAAAAAAGCTGAAGCAGCTGCTGAAGGAAGAAGGCAGGTCTGTCACTCACAGCTGGGAGCAAATTCAAGGGGAAGGTAGACAAAGAAACGAAAGCTGGGAGGTGGATTCAGGCAATTGTAAGCAAGTGCATCCAGAGGACTGGTAGGAATTTTTCTGGGTTTCAGTCATTTTTCTAGAGCCACACTAGCTGCTGGGGACCTCAGAGTGGCAACTGCCAGTGAATGGCTCAGGAGAAGTGACAAGTCACACTTGTAATTTTTTCCGGTCTGGGTGGGGTTTGTTTGTTTGTTTTTTAAACACCTGCCAGGTGGTTCTAGTTGGTGATGACTTCAAGAGGCAGGATTCCCATTATTCCAAACAGGCTGAATTGCTAGAGGAGAGTGACACTTACTTTAACTAGTGATAATTGTAGGGTCCTTGCTTGCAGATGTTGCTTTTGTCCTGATCTTTCATTCAAGTGCAAAGCCTGATGCTTTTACAGGAGGGAAGGAGAGCTTGTTTGGAGCTGTGATTACCAGCCAGAATATGTCTTACTGTGCAGTGGGAACATACCAGAAATAGTCTCTGAAGGTTTTTATTTGTTGGGAGCAATAGTACTGTGAAAGCTTAGCCTTGCCACTCCCATGTCAGTGTCAATTTGTGAATAATTCTAAAAGGTGCCAGGATTAATGTACTGGTGATGGATATAAAGTGAAAAGTGAGACGTGTTTGTTTGCCTTTTAAATAATTTTTATCTGTTTAATGTTTCTGTTCCTCATTAATTGTGCCTGCTTTTAAAATCTACTGTAGTGAATTTCCTGTTGATGTTATGGATGTACCTGCTTTGTGTGGCTAAGAACCAGAGATGTTAAAGAGCACTTAGGTGCTTAGATCTCCATTAGGAATATCACAGATTCCTAAATATATCTGTGCATGCACTCCGTAGCCCTTAAGAGAATACTTTTCAAGACTGATTTTTTGTTTTAAAATGGTCATTTTTTCAATAACAAAACCAATTGTTTGCAGTCATCTGCTGACTGAAACCTCTGATAGGTATGTTTCTAACAGTAGATGAATAAAGATAATATGTTCATCTGTCTCTTGGAGGCTCCTGGCATCTATCAGATAAGATCTGTTCTGGGAGCAGAGGCAGAGAGACAAGTTTCTGTGGCAGCAGCTAGAAGTCTGTTTACTCTGCATCATCTACTGTGTTATGCAAATACAGGTCTTGTCTTCCAGCCTGTCATGCTTACTGAATTTTAGCACATCCTTTTCAACACAGGTGCCTGTGTAAGTTCAGTCATGCTCCCTTGCAAGCATCTTCTTCAGCTAGACAGGAGTTTTTGGGAGTGCATTGAGTGAACATGAAGAAACCTCTGCTCTGTTTAATTTTATCCTTGTCTTTGACATCCTGGGCTGGATTTGAGACTGTCACCTGTCTTGCTTCAGGGAGACTTTTCACTCAAGGGTTTCAGTCTCCACTCTCATTTTCCCTTGTCGCATGTAGCCTTGCTCTCTTTGCTTCCCACGCATCCCTGGAAGGCCGAGCACAGCCTGCTTCCCCCACACCTCACACATATGCAGTGGCAAGTCTTTGTGCTTGCCAGCTTGTGTTGGTCTCTTTTCGTCATAGCTTGAGAGTGTGTTCCTGCCCCCTTTTTTCTTCCTCCTGTCTCCTGTAGCTTCAATGAACTTTTTTTTTGCCCTGTTGCTATGGTTACACTGCCTTTGATGAAATCAGCTAGGCTCTCCCTTATGATTGGAGCCAGTTCTTAGCTGTGCAGATTTTGGCAGTAGTCCTGTCCAGCATTAGTCTTTGCATAAGCATTATATCCATATTTTTGAAGGTTTTGTGTGTTTGTTTCTGTTCCAGGAATACTGTTATCTGAGTAACAAAAGCTCATAGTCATCTCAAAAATCAAACTCAGCCTTGCAGTGTACAAATCTGGCATTCTGATACTTGCTGGTTTTTATTTTGGCCATCGGTCAAAACTAGCATGTGGTGTTCCCTAATCACTTTTCCCCTTTTCTTTGGAAATACTGTTTTACTGTCTTTTAGATACTTGGATTCCTACAGGAAATTCTAGAACACTGTATTTGCTTCCTCATGTTTTTAATGAAGGAAATGCAATTTTTATCTGTCAGCTGACATAGTGCCCAGGACTGTGTTGAGAGGCAGCTGGTGGTGTAAGGAAGGGACACCCTGCTTTTGTAAGCACATGCTAAAGTTTTATACCTTGGCTTCTCTTCTCCCAAAAAAGCTTTGAAGTTGCTGTGGAGGATGCACTGTAGGAAGTATCTGGGAGCAGAGGGATGTCAAAAGTATGGGTGTAGCATCTGAATGCTCAGCCAGACAGGTTGACTCCATGTGGGCTTTCATGTAATTGAAGACTCACTTGAATTGTAGCAAACCATAGGCCGGAGGTCTGAGACCAGTGTGCTGATCTAGGACTAACAGCAGTTGACTGACAGGGAATTTTTTCATGTCCCTATTTGTTATAGATGTGGGACTTCTGATCTCAATTTCTGTCTCATCAGTCACTTTGCAGAAGACTAGAAGAGGGTGCTGTCAATCAAAGTGACTCTGTTAGGTTTAATTCTCTTCAGGAATAAAGAGTTTGTTTCTTCAAATCCCAAGCAAAAATATGCATTTCTAGAATCCCTTACATAGCACAGAGCCCTCAGGAAAAAGTACTAACTTTGCCTTTTTGTCTGAGGGTTTAAAGCTCAAACATATTGCATCCCAGCTTTACAAACTTAGAGGAATGTAGATCTCTAACTGAATGTTATGACTCGCTCTGTTTGTAGCACTTGTTTAGGAAAAAGTATTTTTCATTGGATTTTAATCAGAAAAGTCTTTGCAAAGTAATTTCTAGGCTCTTCCAAGTGAAGCAACTGTGTCCAGTTACAGTTAGAGTAAACTAATGTTCAGAAACCAGGTATCCTTAAAGGATTAAATACCTTGCTGAAACCTACAGGTTGAAGGAGATAAAACTGTCATCCTTATGCATCTGGGTGTGAAAAGTGAATAACGGATACAATCGTTGCTAATTTCAGTTTTGAGAATTGCAGCTTCCACATTTCCATCTTGTATGACATTTCCAGTTTAATTCCAAGTTCTGTATTAAAAGGAAGTTCCTTAGTAATTCTATCCTGTATCCTTAAGTGACATGCAGATGGTTATTCATAATTGTTTCCAGACATCACTATGATATTTTTTTGTTTTTAATTAAGCAAGAGCTTTCAGTTTTAGTGGTTGAATGTTTGCCTCTAAATGTAGATGAAGCAGGCCTACATGATACTGAGAAGTATCCTTTCCAAAATAGGTGCCACCGGAGTCTAAGGTTTTACCCTCAGAGAAAATAGATTTTTTAGTTTTTGTCAGTTTGTGCATGTGTTGCCTATGTGATTTTCTGAAAGGTACTATCTTGTTAAATAAACAAAGCAATTCAGTGATTATTGTAAATCAGGTTGATGTCAATAGAAGCAACATCCTTAAAAGCCCCAGCTGTAAGACTTTCTCCATGGAATTTGGAGATTTTTAATGCCAGCTGTAATATATTTTCCTGTGACTTGTTGCTGTAGTGATCCTGTTCTTGCTCTTTCAGAATGAGAAGGCTTTGGGGCATTCCGTGAGCCGCTCTAGTAACATCTCAAAGGTATGTTGCTCGATGTAACTCAGTCTTTGATAAACTTGGGGACACTGGGATTTCTTTCATTTCAAAATTGGGTGATACGTGTAATGATGTGACCAGTAGAAAATGCTTTTTATGCCTGTCATTGATAGTCACTCCTGAAACATTAGAACTCTGGTGTTTTGCAGACTCTCTTTACAGGTCAAATGAAATGGAAGCTACGGTAGGTTTCCTCTTTCACACTGTCAGCCTCCTTAGCTGGATAGGAGCAAGATAGATGACAGATACCTGAGATCTTATCTTGCAGGGGAAGTGGCTCCAAAAACATCACTCAAGTATGTCATTTTATAAGATAAAGCTGTGTAAGATATATATAGCTGTGCATCCCATAATATGTGTAGGATATGTGGTTGAATGTCATTATAATGTTACTTCAACACTGAATTATTTTATGTGCCATGACCTTGTTATCCAGGACATGACAATGTAAGTATTTTTAAATATTTGATTTTACAGACCCTGGTAATGTAAGGCAAGCCTGATGCTCCACCCATTCTAGTCACTCTTCAGCACAGCCAGTGGGCCCATCCAAAGCATAATTGCTTTGTTTTGCCATTAGGAAAAAGGTATCTTCTGTCCAAGATAATAATTGCAATACATACCCTACTTCCTCATTGCAAATAAGATTTTTTTTATTAGCTGTAAACCTGACAGTGTTTTGCTTACACAAGTACAGTTGCTTAAAGCCTTCATGCAAGCAAGGCTATGCTGGTTGAGCAGTACTTTTCATGGGGTGCATAAGCTTCAAGTCTGTGTTGCCACAGTTTTAAGTGATTGTTTGTAGTTATTTTTAATGAAAGATTGAGTCATTATAGCTGCAACATAGTAAGTATGTGAGTAGTGCTGGATCGGGGAGCTGTTCATGACTATCTCCAGCAGAGGAGTCAGTGTGTACGCATAATTTCATTATAATATATGGTTTATATGGGCACAGACAACTTTCACTTTGGACCTTAAGGACAGGATTACTGTGTGTCCTAAACAATGAGCAGGGCAACTGCCCAGTGCAGAAGGTATTTACCAAGCTGTAGGTGTTGTTATCATGGATTGATATGAGATAGTTTTGTATTTGGCATCAGAAAATGTGCATTCTTATAAGGGGTTTTGAAATAAAAACTGTGTGAGTATAAATTCTCATGTGGGTTTTTCTAAAAAGGCACTATGAGTAGGGGTTTCTTTACCCTGGTTCATAGCTTCTTAGGAATCCTTAACTGGATTTTCAGGTTTTGTTCAGCAAAGATAGTAGTTTTGCCATTAAGTATCACTGTACTTTTCCCAGAGTGTCTCAGATCAGCACAAACCTTTTGGCAGCAGCACTTTGGTGCCCGTATGAATCTGCACAGTTCATTCTTAACTCATCAAGAACTGATAGTGTGGCAGTGCAGTGGGAAGGACCTTGCACTCTGGCAAAGCTCTCCCTGGGAGTGCTGGCAAGTGAGGCATCAATATTTACATTCATCTTGGAGTGCTGAAACGCTCAACGTGACTGCTGTGTGTTTCAAAAGCTAAAGTTCTCAAGGGAATCAAAAGTCAGTCTTGCCAGTTTAATGGACTTTTTGGTTGCAAAGTGAGCTTCCCACAGGTGTTGATGTTCTTACTGCACCTGTGTCATTCTCTGTCTGACCCATTCTGTGTACCTTCTCCACTCTGGATATGAGTTCAAACAAGGGCAGTGGGTGAAAGTCCCATCAGTGAAATCAGTGAAACCGATTTGCCTACATGTCTGAATGCTGCCTTGTGCATCCAGGCAGTTCACTGCTAAACTGCAACAATTATTTTGTGGTTGACAGGTGTTTTGGCTGTTGCAAGCAATTTCGAATGACAAATTAGGAAAGATTGTAATAGTGGAAGCTTAAGTATATGGAAAATTTTTCTTTAGTTGTGAGTTTTAGTAGGAAAGTGTCCTTTTTTTAATTGTTCAGAATACCATAGCAACCTGGCCAATAAGGCAGATTGGATACACGTAAAGGAGTAAGTGTGGAAATGCTTGGCTGCTTGTATAGCCCTTTCTGAAATCCACAGAACTTGTTGATCCTGCACCATTTTAAGAGGAGCTTTTTAACCAAAATTGGGTTAAATCAATTACATGCTTCATTTCCAGATGTGTTGAAGTGTGTGTGTGTGTGTACAGAAATAACGGTCATGCTTTCTGCAACTGCTTTTTCAGCCATTGCTTTTCCACCCAAATCTAGTTTACAGCACAGCAACATAGCAAATCTCCTACAAATTCTTGGCACTGACACTTGATTCAAAGCCTTACTGGTGCTGATATGTCATTACAAACCCACTGTGATTATTACTGTGTATCTTTCCACTGCTCTCAGTTGCACAGTGCAATCTGAGTGGAAAGGATTGAGTCAGAACTCAGCCTTTAGCCAAGAAAGGATGCTGTGTTATTTATTGTGACCAAGGAAAGCAATGCTCATGGGCTAAAAGTGATCAGGGAGAGAGGCAGACAGATGGTGCTACTGAAAATGTAATCAGCTGGTAGAGGTAGCTGGACCTCGCTGAATTTAGACCCCCAGTGTCAGGGCCAGGTGGAGCTGTCCCTTGGGAGAAGGGGGCAAAAAGGCAGTTCTCCAAGAGGCAGATGCTAAGAGAGGCAGAAGAGATGCTAGTACATGTGGCCAAGCCAAGAAAAAGCAATCACCTGAATAGTTGGCTAGGGATGGATGCCAGAAAGAGCAGAAAAAGGAGCAAGGAATAAGATGCAGGAGGATCTTCATACGGTGTCATTAGGCTCTGTGCAGTATGTTGCACACTGGGGGATGTGGCATTCCTCCAGGCCCTTCTTTGCCTTTTTGGTATATTTCAAACACTCCTTTTAAATCTGCTACATGTGAAACATTTAAATTTCTGAAATATTCTATATTTGTTTTGAAATAAAAAAACAACATTGAAGGCAGATTTAATTGATTTAGTCATGGGACTTGAACACAGCCCATTTTTCCCCAACTTGCCCTGTTCAGAAACATAAACAGCACTGATGCTGATTGAAACACCCCCAGTTGGCACAAGAGAATACAGCCCAGATCCACATCTCGGCTGTTTACCCTAAGCCAGCATTTTTTCCAAGCAGCCACTGATTGCTGCAAAGTGCCTTCATCATACAAGCCCCACAGAGAAATAATTAAGCTTTATAGAAGCTTTATCCTCTAAATATAGAAGAAATTGACCCTAACGCACAGCTAGTCACAGGGAGCAGCTAAAAGAGGGATTTTCCCAGTAGTGGTAATTCATGCCCTCAGTTTATAGATAAAGGAATTGTGCTTACAAGCAGATGAAATGAGATCACTTACAAAGCTGGTCTCTAAACAGTTCTTCTCAAATTAATAGTATTATTTACCTTTAAAGTGTCTGATATATCCTGAAACGAATGATGTGATGTCTGGAAATACCTCCAGGTCATCTGTGTGCTGTTCTTGTCTTCTGATTGCTTTGGAGAGTTGATTCTAATGTAAAGGGGAAGCACTTTATAGTCTTATTTTCATGGCCCTCCAAGGGATAAACTTTGAAAATGCTAATACAGGGATCACAGCAAAGGAATCAAAAGTGAACTCCTTAAAAAAATGCAAATGCTTTGTCTTTTCTGAAGGCCTATATAGTTTTATCTTTTGAGCAAAAGCAAGCTGTAAAGTGTTAGATTATTCTTAGGCTGAATAGCAGCCAGTGCAGACACAAAGTGGTAGCCTAAGCTTGCTATGAAATTTAAAATCCATTTAGGCTGTTCATCAGCTTGGAACAGATTTAGAAAAGCATGTGAATACACATGTCCACTGTTGCCTGAAGCTTTAATGGATTCAGTGAGCATTTGTCTGTAGAAAAGTTGTCCAGGTTTTTCAGTTGCAGAGCTCAGCTGTCCTCTAGTCTACGAGATGACCAAGGCTTACTGAAAAAAAACTGTTTCTCAGAGGTGTTCTGTTCAGGTATGTGAGCCTGAGGGTAGGAAAACATAAGTTGCTTTAAAAAAAAAACCTTCTACTGAGTTACTGGGGAAAGGAAAAGACATGAAAAATTGGGTAGTGTGAAGATGAAAGTGTACTCTTTCCCCAAGTACAACAGCAAGTAATCTCATGCTGGAGCACAGTGCAGTCATGTTTGTAAGGAATGCTATAATCTGTGCTGTGATAAATTCCCTCTCCTGGAGCTAGATTCTTTCTTCATACAGGTATGAGGGCACCCCATTAAGGAAGAACCTGCAGGAGTTTCCTCTTTTGTTCCCTCAGTCCTTTCAAGGTATTTTGAGGAAGATTTTTTTTAAGACAAAAAGCCATTTTTTCTTCTTCTCCCTGCAGAACCTGTGCAGTTGTTCCTGGGTTTAGTCAACATTAATCCCATGCTATGGGCACGTTGTATTATTTTTGGGAAGATTTTGAAAGGATAGCCTCCTCTCTCTAGTATCTTCAGCTCTGGATTCTCTAGAGAAAGTTCCTGACAGAATCCTCCTTTAGATTTCTTTAGAAATAGTAAGGGAAAGCTGACATCAGCTTTGCTTCTAGTTGATAGACATAGTTTTAATTATAGTCATATACATTATATAAAGTATGGAAGAAAGTTATTCCAGCAGCTGACTGCTGGTTCCTATCAAATTGTTGCCAAAATTACATGGTGGAGTTGATCATCCTGAAATTTTCCGATGCCTCTTTCCCATATCTCCCCTACAGTTTTTTAACCACTCTCCATTTTAATAATTTACTTTACCCCTCGCTAAAGACACTTGATTTTAATATGCACTGAAAATCAATGTGGCATGAATCTGGTAGGGAGAACTTATTGGAAAAGATCAGAAGTTGCTGATGGTTGATCCTGCCATGTTGGTATAACCATGTTTATCTGTCATGTTTCAAAACCAGCCTGTCAGCGGGGTGTCTGCCCATCACATCCCTCAGTCTGTCCCAGGTGTCAGGTTTGCATGGTTTGGGATTGTTGCACTGCTGCCTTGGCCAGGTGGCAGCACTGGAGGCCACCTTTGGCACATGTGAAATGACACAACCACGTCTGCTCCACAGATGAACTTCAGAGACTGCACAACTGCAGTGCACTTCAGCAAGAGCCGCCAGCCAACACATACATGGAATACAGTACTTGCTGAAAGTACTCAAAAGCACATAAAATAAAGACAAGCCCATAATCAAAATGCCAGGTTGAAATTTGGGTTGTGGAGTGTTTCACTCCTTGCTCTATTGCTAAATTTGTACTTGCCTGAAGCTCCTTGTTCTGAAGTTCCTCTCGATAAAAGACTTAAAATTGAGCTTCTTTTCACTCTCTCTCTGCACAAAAGAGAATTGTGTTCTATTATTAAATGTGTATAGGTCTTAGTATGTTAGCTGCAGATCCTTAGCTGAGACTTCTAGATGTTTTTGTAGCACAAGTAGTAGAGTCACAGTATTGTTCCTAATCATGTGGCACCTAGAAACAACAACGTTTGCATGTGGGGGGGGGGGGCAAAACCCTTCTTTGCTTCCTTTAGACTTCTGATCGGTTGAAAAATTCTACAGAAGTTATTTCCAATTTTTTACCTTCAATGAATAATAATTTTTTAGAATGCAATAGGCCCAGTAGGCCCTGTCCTTTAAAATGAGATGGAATTGTTATTACTGCAGCCCAGAGTGGGATAACAGCAACTGTAGCCAGAAGTGTCATCTTAGATAAGCAGGTTATCTTGAAATATACCCAAGCCATTGGCGTGTTCACTATGGCTTACTTCAAAGATGCCTTTATTTTCTTAGGCAGGGTGGGGTGTTTTTTGGGTTTTGGTGTGCAGCATGTAATCAAATGTATGTAATAAGAAAAGACTGAGTTCTCTCACCAATAGATAACACTGTTCACGTGGAGGCAGAATGAGAACATATATGTGTATATATGCATGGACCTGCATATATGCGTATTAAAAAATGTCTATGTTCCTGCTGGCAACCCTTCAGAGAACTGTGGGAATCCCAGGAATTGTTACCTTCAAAATTGCTGTGATTGTCTGAATACCAGTGCAGAAGGCTATGCTGTGACCTCAGTGAATTGCATTAGATGGGAATGTCAATATAGACAATTAACTAACTATTGACCTTTATTACTGAGCTATTTTAGCCAGCCAGTTGGGCTGTACAGAGTAGCTCACAAGCACATGGCTCCAAGGCTCTTCACTGGAGGTGATGTTCCTCCATGCGAAGGGCATGACAGTTCAGAGTTTCAGCAAGTGATTATGGGGCTAGAAGGGTCAAATTCAGGCTGTCAAGGCTTAGGCTATATGTCACATATGAACATGGTAGAAACCTCCTGTGCTAAAACCTACTGCTGCTGTTGCCATCATAAATTGCCAGTTTGGCCAAGGGTGCTGCTACCTGGGAGGCTGCTGCTGGGGCAGTAAGGGTGGTGTGTGCCAGAAGCTACAGAGTGCAGAAGGCTTTGACTGCTTATTTTCCCCTCTTTTCAGCCTCTTCAGAGCTGAGCTCTGTGTGGGAGCAGCATCAGAGCTCCAAGATAGCTGGATCTGCCTGTTTCATTCACCCATCACCGCCTCTCCTTTGCCCTGTTGTGTCCCTAGGCTTCCTGTATTTCTTCTTTTCTGTGGCACCTCTCTGCCTGAAGCTGCTGTGTCTGAGTCAGTGAGGCCCAGGTGAGCTGGGAGGACTGGCCAGCAGCAGCAATGTGTAGCCCTGCTTCTAGATTTGGCAGAAGTTAGTACTTAGGCTTCTGGCAGCAGCTTGCATTTTACTGTGCTCTTGTCAGGGAGTTGTGCTTCACTGTTAGAGACTCATTGCTGTCACTGGCTGACGTTCCTGGGGAAGTGATTGGCATTAAAGCAATGGCTTGTTTTACCTCACTATCCTGCTCTGAGCTGCAGCACAGCTCTGTAAAGTTCCATGAGCAGAAAGCATGGGATGAAAAGAGGACAGACTGAGTGCCTGGAGGCTCATTGGACCATGGCTCTTGGTAGTAGCCACAGCTTGCATTGGTTTGAACCAAGAGTGGGGCATAACTTCCTCCAGTGATTTGTTGTTCCTTTTTGTGGTGCCTATCCAAGTGTGTTAATTTCTGTTCGTATTTTGGTTGCACTTTCATTATGTACGAAAATAGAGAAAAGTACCTTCTGTTCTGAAGCAGAAAGATAGGAGTAAAGGAAATGTGCCTCAGATGCTGAGCTTCTGCAAGCCACTCTGAACAGTACTGGCATCTAGAAACAAAATACTAAGCTTGAAATGCAAATGAAATTCCACAATTTCTTTTTTGTCCCAGCCTTTTGATTTCCCACATAGCAAGACTTTTAACACTCTTGGTACCAGACAGCTGGATCAAGAAACCAGTAACACAGTTTTGGAAGGGAAATTTTGGGTCATTGATTCTAGTTATCTGCTACTAGACTCCCACATCATATATTCTGCTGTCCTTTTCTGAAAAAGTTCGTTGCTAAACTGAAGCAGCTGAGAGATTGGATTTATTCTAAGCAGGTTACTTTCTGTGATTTTCTCAGCATAAAACCTGAGAAAAATTTATTAATTGATTTGTGACTTCACTTCCAGCAATGTATAGCTCTGTCTCCATGGCAGAATGTAATATGCTGTTTGACTGGTTTAATATTTTGGTTTTTGAAGATCGCTCGGTGTCTTTTAAACTATTTCATTATTTAACTTTTATTAATTTTCATTTGCAGAATGAAACAATTTATCAGTAAATTAGTGTCAGATCTTTAATTAAATTGTCAGACTTGGAGTTGAAAAAAAAGTTGCTGCACAAACCCTTATAAAAGATAGGATATGAAGTCAGGTGTACCTGCTTTTAGGAGAGGTTAAGCATCAGAGAGAACAAATTTCCAACAAATACCTGAATTCACATCACTGTATGATCAAAATCCTGTATCATTAGCATGTGCAAGTGGTGTAAAATGTAAAGAACTGTAGTTTCCAGGATAAAGCCAGTAATTGACCTTTATCTTTGTTTTGTCAGTCATTACATAGTTCAGTTTGCTTTCTGGCCCAAGGTTATTCTACCGGGTTTTATTCTATATGTGTACCCAGCTTTGGGTAAGATGGGAAATAAATTACAAGGTCTTATTAAGAGTTAAGAGGTGTGTGTTTGAGGCATGGCTGAATCTTGCCTTTGATTCCTGCAGACCCAGCTGTAAATGGATACCTGATCTTTCAGTGTCTGTGCGCCTGAGGTGTCCTAACATGAGGGCAGATACACTGCTGTCTATAGTGCTGTTGACTAGAGAAATAAAACCTTAAATGACAAGTTCTGTGACAAGGAAGGTGATTGTTTTATCTGTATTTACAAAGTAGCATGTGTATGTATCTTCTCTCACAAAAAAAATAGGAGTATAATGTGTGACAAGGAACCTCAGTTTTTCTATGACAGTATAAAAGCCTGTGGCAGCCTTGTTTAAATATACAATAGGGGCTTTTACTAAATTAAGTATAGAATTGATGGGTCCCAAGACAGATAGAGTGTGTGTTGCAGCATGATCAAAGCAGTGATGACTGAGCAGCTCTGGTGTCTGAAGCTGAAGCACAGGGCTGGGCACGGTGTGCTTCTGTGGCAGCACACCTTCTGTCACCTGAGGTCCCCATGGGCTGGCTTGCCTGACCCAGGTCTCTGCTGGCAGTGCTGGTTCTGTGCAGCCCAGTATGGAGATGACTTCAGTTGTTCTGCTGATTGTGTTGTTCTTTCCTGGGTTTCAGGCTTTGCTGTGCAGATCAAAAGAGCTGTAAAACCTTTGTTTGCATATTTGAAGTGCAAACAATGTTTTGCAGAAGTGGGTGAGCAGAGCAGCCTGTCCAGCAGCTGTGGAACATGGGAGACCCAGGTTTAAAGATTCTCTGTTATGAGGTGATTAATGAGGTTATTAATCCTTCTCACCAAAATCTCCAGGAAGAGTTGAGAAGTTTGTCAGAGTGACATGCAGGATACAGCAGCAGTAAAGGTCTTTAATAACAGCCAGTGTAGTCAAATGCTCTCTTAGAACATTGATTTTAGATTTGTCTATTAAATATGCCAAGAGTTTCACTTCATGTTTTTGAGTTAGTTCAGCTAATTCTTAATTCTTCAGTTATTCTATTTCTCACTGTGCTCTTGTTGCAATTTACAAATATGACTGCTGCCGCACCTTTCTCCAGGTAGATGGAAGATGCTGTTCAAGTAAGAGCAGGATGAAAGGCCTCAGAAAGTACTTCAGGGAATGGTCTGGGTTGGCAGATGGTGCTCATGTGCAAATGCTAGTAAGGAATATAAGTCCTCAGGTTGTGCTTGAGTTGCTGAATTACCAGTGTTGCTGGTTTGTAAAGAAAACCGAAGCCTCTAATCTCTTGCCATTATTGTTAGAGGAAGGATTAGCTATTACATGGCAGCTAAATTCCAGCTAGTTTATACACACACTTCCATCTAATTATTCTAATTACTGTAGCGTTGCTCATTTCCTGAGCTATTGTTCTGTGCTGTTTGACAGCTGGCAGGTTCCACTCCAGAGATGTCTGTATTTAACCTTGGGGTACAACATTTCTCTTCTAATTGCTACTTCTCCAGGGATGAGACTCTGTGACCTTTCTTGCACTTAACAGTAAAGTCATTTTCTTACAGCTAGCCCTTAAGTATCTGCTGTAGAGTGATATCTGACTCCATATGCTGTGTTTCACCCTGAAGGTGATTGCTTTGCGTACTGACTCCTGACTTGAGGGTTTTCTTGTTTGTTTGTTTTAATTTCACTGCAGGCTGGAAGTCCAACCTCTGTCTCTGCCCCCCATAGCTTCTCTCGGACTTCTGTTACACCATCCAACCAGGACATCTGCAGGTAAAGTGTGCCATTTGTCTGGCTACAGTGAGGCTCAGGAGAGGTTCCAATTAAGGAAAAACAAAACTGAAAAAGCACATTTATGGGGAAGTAAGCGATGTGGGGTTCCCACTTGAAGCATCCCATTTGTTTGACTCGACTGCTGTCTAACACTGCTTTGTTAAATCCTACTGACTGTTTGGCCCTGCTATGTTTGCCATTCCCACACTAGCTATAATTCTCATTTCTTCACTTTTAATTATACATGTTCTCTTTTTTAATTGGTTTTTTTTTTTTTACTTTCTGTGCTTTTATTCCACTGTTCTGCATGCAGTTCCAGTGCAGTGTTTTCTGAGTGTTGTCATCACAGTCCAGTGCAGTCTGCTGTTGTCTTGAAAAATCCGCACTGCCAGAGCCCTCTGACACAAGGGGTCACTGTGACAGTAATCTGTCAGGACACGTTACATGCAGCAAAGAGAAACTCCCGTGGGCAGGATCGGGGCCAGACACTCAGGTCTGCTAAGAATGTAAAGCCCACCCGCACTCTGAAATTCTCCAAGTCCCTCAATGACGTGGACCAGAAGGCGCAGAGCACCAGCGAGTGCTTTGATTATGTGGAGCGAACACGCTCAGAAGGCAAACTGACCCCAAATCAAGAGCAGTGTTTAAGGATTAACAAATTTCATCTTAAAGAGAGGAAACCGCTGAATCTCAGGCCTCTTTCTTTTAGCAATTCTAAGCACTCCTATATCCCTTCCCTTTCCAACTACTCAAGTGCATCGGGAGGAGCAGAGAACCACAGCGCTGTACATATCCCCCTGCTGGAGGACAAGGTGGACCATGACTCCTCAAGGAGCAAAAAACTGTTGCGTTACCTTTTTTCCTTCTCCCACACCTCCAGCATCAGCAGCCTGCATAAATTTCATGAACTGGAGAGCTATTCCAGTCACTTCCAAGCTGACAAATCCTCCAGCATGCTGGTGGAAAGCACGGACTTCTGCTCTGATGATATGGGAGATGATGACGTCTTTGAGGACAGCACCTCAGTGAAACTCAAAACGAAAGAGCAGCGGGCACCGCTCTGTTCAGTTGAGAAGGACAGTGACCTTGACTGCCCTTCCCCCCTCTCAGAAAAGTTACCCCCTCTCTCCCCTGTGTCCACTTCGGGGGATACCTGCAGGTTGGTTTACCAGAGAACCACCTACCTTTTTAACCCTCCCATGTGCGGTGGTGACTGTTCTGCTTTCCCCTGCCTTCATGCTGTTTCTGTCTCTTCTTTACCCTGTCACCTTGCTAATACAGTGTGTGTGATTTGAAGCATGCAGCCTTCTCTCTGCAGTTCTGCACCCCTCTGATGCACTTAACAAGGCTACTAAGCAAAATCATTTCCTTTGGAGTCAAATAAATTCTCCTAAAATTTATTTTAGGTTTGGGGTTCTGAGATAGTATTTTTCTCTTATCAGTGCCCAAACTGGGAATACAATGAGAGACACAGCTACGCATCATAAAGGTCAAGCTGAACATGTCTTAGCTTTTAATGAGCAATGTGTTGTCCTGAAAGCATTGGTGGTTTGGTCAGAGGGTGGGAATCAGGAGGAAAACAGACTGCTTGAAAATTGCTTGTGAGATCAGATCAATATAGCTTTAGATTTTTTTTCCCCCCTCAGTTTGTATCCCACCACACTTTTTTATTTGTTACGGGCTTCCTGGTTGTCTTGGTCAAAGGTGATCTGAGTGCTGGCTGTTAGTGGTAGGACTGTGTGATGTCCATAGTGTGAGGTTCAAAAATGATGGGTGTCCTTATTCCAGCTGCAGAGGATTAATCACGTGCACAGATGGTAGGAGCAACAAGATCTGGACTGTTTTCATGGTGATTTGTTTGCAGGTCTGCCCCATCCCACATCCAAAATGTAGTTGAGGAGCAAGAGTCATTAAGTTCAGGAGCAAATGTCCAATCCCTCTACCTAGCATTTTATTATCCTAGTCTTCCTCCTCCCTAACAGCACTTCCTAAAGCTGGCTTTGTTATTACTTGCCAATATTATTTGATTTCCCCCCTCATTACCACGGTATCTAGTTCTGTACTGGCTTATCAACAAGATGCTGTTGTAATCCACCCCCACCTTCATTTCCACTTGCCAACTATCAGCAAGGTCACAAGAGGCAAGATGCTACACTTCAGTAAGAAACTTCAGTAATAGACAGGGATGGCAGCAGGCCAAAATGTACTTCACATATGCTTAGTAACCTGTGTTCACTCCCTGAGCTCCTCACCATCCCCCTTTCAATTCATGACCTCTTCCACATGGCTAGAAGGACTTCACAATGTTTGATGCTACCCAAGGGTTGTGTATAAACTGATTCTGGAAATCAAATGTCAAGAGCTGGTAGTAACATTTTATCAGATGTCTTTGCTGTTTGCATAGTTAGGCTCTAAGGAAAACAGGGAATTTTGCAGAGCTGATGCTTCCTTAGCAACTCTTGCTGAGTTGGAGAAGCAAAACCATTTAGAGTAAATGTTTTACTTATTCTACACTACATTGCTATGTAGTAAAACTATATTGCTGTAGTTTTGCATTGTGAATCTGTCTCTTAGCAGTTTGCATTGGAATAAATCACTTGTGTAAAATCCAGGCTGTCTAAATCAGTTGTTCATGATCCTGGGGTGGACTGTTTCACCACTGGTATTGGAATTTTGTTTTATCTTCTATTTCAGACCGTAGTACATAAGTAGCTGTACCTCTCTTTGCATATTTTGTCTTGGGAAGTGCTGTCTGATCTGTTTAAATGCTATTTGCAGTTAAGTGCTATTGGTCTGGGTGAAACATTTTCATTTTTTGCTCCATTTTTTCTTTCAGGTACTGCATTTCTGTCAGGCTCTATGTGTGTGCCTCATCCGTGAGAAAGCAGCTGTCTAGCTAGCTGTTTCTGTGCTTAATTATTTTGTGCCTGTGTATGTGCTTGTGCAGCAACTGAGCTGTTTAGTTTTAGCTCCTTTGTGCAACACATTCCTTTGATTTATATGTCTCGGGATCCTCAGTGAACATTCATGTGTGATCACAGATGTTACATGGCTCTTCCACATCCTTTCTGCTTCCTCTTCTCCTAACCAGCAGCTTTGCTTCTGATTCAGGATATGTCACTGTGAAGGAGATGATGAGAGCCCTTTGATTACCCCTTGTCACTGCACGGGAAGTCTTCATTTTGTGCACCAGGCCTGTCTGCAGCAATGGATCAAGAGCTCGGACACGCGATGCTGTGAACTGTGCAAGTATGAGTTCATCATGGAGACAAAACTGAAGCCTTTGAGAAAGGTAGGCACAGGACCTGCTTCCCCAAGGTCCTTAACATCTCTGTTGTTAAACAGAGATCCACTCTGGAACAGGCTGTGTCCACGAGCCTGCAGCACCCAACTTGTATTTCTTAATGTTTTTGTGGCTCCTTAGTAAGTCTGGTCAGTCTTGTACAGGTACAAAAAGATTTGAATTAAACTCACCCTGGCAAATTCAATATCACTGGAATCCAGCTCTGATAACAACTGTTCTAGCCCAGCGGCTTTCTGTGTGTAAATGTATATGTGTGTGTGTGTGTGTGTGTAAATATATATATATGTGTCTATGCAACAGTCTGATTTTTTTCTTTAGATTTAAGAGCACAAAAATCAACATTTTTTTTTTAAATGTGGAGCTTTGTATTACTGTTACCTGCTTTAGTTTGTGGCTCACATGTTAAGATCCACATGGCTTTTAAGTTCTCTTCAAAATATGAGGGTTTCACATTAAATTTACTTTAAATCACACTTCTTGAATGTAACTTAGTTAAAATTTGTATCTTTTCTTTTTAAAGGCTCAAACTTATTTAGTGAAAATAATACATTGTAAGTAGAAAGTGATTCACTGTTACATATGTTTTCATTTTTACCTTTTCCTAGGGTGTGAATGACTAGGTTTTAGTACTTCAGGTTGATAGAACCTGTATTTCTGTTTTATAGATAAGTATCTTTCATAAATCTGGTGACTTAAAGTATAGCTACTAAGACATTTTGTGCTTCTATCCTCATTTTGTTCTCCCACATCCTCTGAGCTTTCAATGTCAGTTGTCCTTAAATCAGGATTTTGAGATGGAAGTCACTGGTATTCTTAGCACAGACAAATCTTTCCACATCTACCAAAGCAGAAGAGGTTAATAACAATAACCTCAGTCTGGAACTAGAATAGATGAGAAACATTAAATTCAGTTATGATGAGCCTAAATCATATAGAGTGGGAAGTTTGGACTGCAGATATCCAAAAAACACTACAAGTACTTGTCCAAATCCTAAAAGTGACATCTAACAGAAAATAGAGCAAATTTCAAACACTTAATTTTTCAGAGAGATGTATTGTCTGCAAAGTGTATAGCTTAGCATGTCCAGTGGATAAGATGTCCTTTGTTTATGGCTGTGGTGGATCATTGCCTTCTAAAAACTGCAGATTTTGGCTTGGTAGCCTCTTGGCACACAGTGTAGTTGTTTCTGAGCTGCAGTATTGGTCCTCATAAGCTCTGTTGTGTGCACAGACAATACTGTGCACAGCCCAACCACAGGACAGGAAAGAAATTACTCTTTCTAGAGTATCCAAAGAAAGAAGAGTTGCTATAGTTGTCAGTTGACTCCTGTTTTTTTTTCTGTGCTCACTCTGCCTGAAGTGGGTGGGGGAACATTATCTGAATATTTGTGCCCTATGGAAAAAAAATGTTGTGCACCTTCAGAAATGAGTCACTCAACATCATTAGTTATACCTGAATAGGTCATCTGTGGGAAGCAGACAAGCTGCCAGAAGGTAGGGATAGAGCCATAAATAGAAGGAGTTTACATTTCAGATACATCTAAAAGAGTCATTTTAGAGGTTTAGCTGCAGCAAAAAGATAAGATGCCTCTGCATCTTCAACTCAGCCTTTATGGTAGCCTTTCAGTCAGGAGAAAACAGTCTGGAACTGGTGAGTATGATCAGGATGGGATAATAATAGGGCTTCTCCTTGTCTGTAGAGTAGAAACGGAATTCAACTTCCTTGGCATCTTACAGTTATATTGCAGCATTGAGTTGTTCAAACACTAAAGGAAGAGGATGAGAACAAAATGTGTAATGGCTCAAATGAAGATGAGAGCAGACAAGACAGATGCTTAATTTTAAAATTTCAGTGAAAGAACAAGACATTAAATCTAAATTTTCTGCTGGTTTTTTTTTTTCTGTTGGTTTTAACAACACTTGAATAGTCCAGAACTGCTGTTTTAAGTGGGAAATGCCACATGCTGTGTCATTGGAATAATACAGCAGGGACCTACAGATTTGAGTTTCCTCTCTGGGCTAGTGTGCAATTTGCAGAATATTTTCTCTTTTGCTTTACAGTCATCTCTCTTGAAGCAGTGAGGTGGTGCAAGCTGGTTTTGTGACTGTGGAGCCAGCAGTTCACAGGAGGTATTGTCCAGCAGAGGAGCCCACACAGTGGAACAGAAAAAAGAACTATAAATTAGTCAAAACACAAGTCCTCCTGGCTCTGTAAAAGCATTTGCAAATAGATCTAACATGGTTGCTTTTTGGCAAAATAATTTGATTAATTTGTACTTTCTATCAAAAGGCAACACCTTTGTATAGAAGCAAAAGCAATTTTCTTTTTAAAATACAACCTACAAAGGGAATATTTTGTCCCATCTTTTTCTAAAAAGATTGAAAAAATACAGCTTTCTAGTACAATGAAACTAGCTTGTCATTCCTGGAAATACTCAGTTCTTGTGCCATGATGAGGTTTGGATGCCCACATAACTGGAAATGTGGCTTGGGCTGGACACAAAGATGTGTGTGAACCAGCACAGGGATGATCACAAAGTCTCTGTCTCATGTTTCAACCATTCTCATTTTTGTGGCAGTGGAAAGCAATAATTCAACATAATGGATTATTTCAATCTTACCATTCAAGTCATCCTCATCCCCTTCCACTTTATGCCTCCTTTTTGAAGTCCTCTTTTTCTACAAATTATTCTATGAGACATCAGATGCACCTTTTTATGCATGAGATGTTTATATGTGTTTTGATGTCTTTTTTAAAAGTGTGAGAAAAGCCCATCATAACTCTTTTCCAAGCAGATATGCTGATGGATGGATGTCCCACATGCAACAACTTTCATCATTTACATAGGCAAAATTACAGAAAAGAAATTTAAAACACAGCTTGTGGGTATCCAGATATGTCTGGCATATTAGAGGCATCTATAATAATTGTCTCATTTCCTTGTATCTTTCTGAAAGTACATTGGCCTGATTTTATGGGGTTTTTTTGAGCTATATAAAGCATTATTGATAGATGCAAATCTGGAGATTTAATTTGTTGCCATCCTCTCGCTTAGAAAAGCTGTCACCCCCACTCTAATCTATATTCTTAGGACATATGTATTTAAGTGCTCTTGAAACACTGAAAGTAAAGTGAGTGTCACTGCTATAAGTGATATTAAATATATGTGAAGGTTGAATGAAACCCCCCAGAAGTACAAGGTGAGAGCTGAACAGCCATGAGACTGAGAGCTCACCATGAGGTGTCTCTACACACCCTGGGCAGTTGAACCATGTGCCACTTGCACTGTTCTGTTGAATGCCTCCCTGAGCAAGGTACCCACTCCCACTTGTGATGCTCAGCTGCAGCTGTGGGTGCCTGCTGGGGAGCGCAGGAAGGAGCAGCAGTGCTTGGGCCCCTCTGCTGGCACTGCCCCTGTGTGGGTAAGCAGGGTGCAATGACATTGTGCTGAGGTGCTGGTGGGAGCTGAGCACTGAATCCCCTCTGGCACCAGGATGGCTCCAGTCACAGCAGGGTGAGCTGCCAGCCATCACACACTTGCTGTGACCAAGTGACTGGTGCCATCTGACTTTTAAAATCCTTGTTAGGAGGAAACTGGTCTCCTGCCTGGTTTTTCTTCTTATCTATGTTCTCTTTTCATACTCTCTAGTAACTACAATAAACTGCTAATCTCTTGCTCTGGTTCCTGGTTTCTTGCCAGTGGGAGAAGCTGCAGATGACAGCCAGCGAGAGGAGGAAGATCATGTGCTCTGTAACATTCCATATCATTGCCATCACCTGCGTCGTGTGGTCTCTCTATGTCCTGATAGACAGGACTGCTGAAGAGATTAAACAGGGACAAACTACCGGTATGTTACTTGATTATCTTCCCACTTACTCTCTTGGAATAATTATTTATCCTGATTGCAGAGAGGATGTGGAACATAAGTGTTAAATCTAAACTAGTCAGCTTCGCCCTGGTATTGGGTTGGTTTAAAAGCACAGTTCTAAAATTATTTAGTTAAATCAGTAAATTAACCAATGGATTAATCTGTGGGTACTTTTTAAAATCTGTTTCAGGTCAATTTAGTTTGCTCTTGTGAAATGCATGGATATGAGAGCTAATCCAGTGTAGCCAGACACAAAGTTGCACTGCCTCAGCAAATTTAGGTCTAAATTTGCAGATAAGGATGTAAGCATTTATTTGCTGCTATGACTACCTTTAAACTGGGCAAAACTGGAACAGTTTTAAAAAAGAGAAGAAGTAAGAGGAACCTAAATTCAAATCTTTGAGGTAAATCAACAGGATTTTCTTTCTGCCCAGTTGTCTGTGCAGTGGATTAGTCATCAGTGAGAGCCATGTTAGGCTGGAAAAACTTTTGAGTGATTGCACTTGAAGCAGAAGAAATTCAAGTTGAATATCAGTACTCCAATTTGCACAACTGAGATAAGAGGCATTGTAATCTTATAAAGGGCTGCCAGCCCAGTGCACAGGTACCTTAACTTACTGAATAGAAGGTTTTCTTTCGTATGTCAGCTGTAAACATACCAAGCTGAAATGTGTTTACTCAGGTATGCTGGGCTGCAGATTTGCAGCTGTCAAAAAACTTCCTCAGGCATCTGAGCCTAAAGATGGGGATAGAATAGATGGAAGCTGTTAGAAGGCAGGCTATCCTTGCTTACAGAGCACTGCATGCCAACTAGACATGCAGGTGGAAAATGTTTGGCTGGTGATTGAACAGTCCTTTGGGGAGGTATTTGAGCATTAATAAACTAGTGAATCCACAGAGCTGTTACAGTCTCTTCAGAGCAGAATCACTTCAAACTGAGAAGTCATCCTCTCATTTCTCGTTTAGGCTATAGTTGGATTGTTCACAACTTCTGGCAGGAAGCTGCTTTCAATGAAATCTCTTAGTTTCTGTTCCGTCCAACCCCATTTCTTCCATGAACAGTGAACATGATTGGCCTTTCAAAAGGATAAGGTTTCCATATGATAATGAAAGTATATGTTTTCAAAGATTTATCCTTTCCAGGTTATTTTAACCAGTAAATAAATTGGATGAACATAACTAGGAGGAATGATGTGAATATTTGGTACATATTTTAGTGCTTTCTCTGCTCCTTTCATTTGGATTCTAAATCCAGGGACTGCTGTAATGAGCTGGGGGATGCAGGAAGTGTGTGTGGATATATATTCTTGTCCACATGGACAAGCATGTGCTGTCACTGCCTACATCAGACAGCTCACCTTTGAATCAGAGGGTCATATATGAATCACAGGTGGGATTTCATCAGTAGTAAGACTGCAATGCCCTTTGTATTTTGGGACTAATACCTCCTGCACTACTAATTCCTCCTCCACTACCATACATTTCTAAAACAACAGCAGCCTGTATCTTGGTTAAAACTTGGAAGAGCTGGAAAGATAGGATTTTGTTCTCTGAAAAACCTGGTAATGGGTGATTCAGCATAGTTTCATATCCGTCTTGTGATGGCACTTATTTTAAAGATGCTGGATGAACACAGGATGTATGTAAGCAGAATATATATAACATGAATAGTTTTTAATTTAAAAGTGGTTGATAGAAATGTAACAAGATCCACTGTCTAAATGTTCAGGCCAGACAAATTTAGGCAAAGTGATGGTGGTATTTTTTAAGGACAGAGGATAAGCTTGGAGTGCTTCAGCATCTCCAGCACTCGCAGTTTTGTATCAGAGGAGATGCTTTAGTTCAGATACAAGTTACTGGGTGTAATGCAGATAAAATTTTCCTCATCTGCATAAGACATGTCAAGCTGTATGGTAACAATCATTCCTTTATGTCTCCATGTACTGTGTGATCACAGAGTGGAACAGACTTACTGGGTCACCTTGTTGTGTCTCTGTTATGAAGAGGAAGCCATGCCATAGAATCCCTTTCATAATTTGATCCAATCTTTGATTAAAACGGGTGTAAAAGGACCTAAGCATATTACTGGTGGTTGCCTTGACTCTGTGATTGTACTGCATCAAGGCTCAGATACAGAAAATCAGTTGTTTTGTTTTTTTTCTCTGGTGGGGAAGAATGTGATATGTGAAGCCGAAGTCTGTGTGTTTGAATGAAGAGGAAAAATTGCAAAATAAGAATAGTTTGCAATTCTTCTTTTTATTTTCTTTCTTCCAGGTATTCTGGAGTGGCCATTTTGGACTAAGCTGGTAGTTGTGGCTATTGGTTTCACTGGAGGACTTCTGTTCATGTATGTACAATGCAAGGTGTACGTACAGCTGTGGAAGAGACTTAAAGCTTATAACCGAGTAATATATGTACAAAACTGTCCAGAAACTAGCAAAAAGAATATTTTTGAAAAACCTGCACTAATGGAGCCAAACTTTGAAAGTAAAGAAATGTTTGGGGTTCACCATTCAGAGACAAACTCTTCACATTACACAGAGCCAGAAGACTGTGCTGCAGAAATCCTTCATGTCTGATTGCTAGGTGGAAGGGGTGTTTCTGTATGTCCTTGAAGATTTGAATATCATTGTTTACTGCAAACTGCTCTACCTTTTTAAAATCAGCAAACAGCTGAAGGCTGGCGGATGAATTTTTTACATTTGTCTTTTTGTTGGAATTTTTTTTAATCCCTTAGGCATATCTGTCCATGTCAACATGGTTGCATACCTCTCAACATTTTGTGTCTCATACTGGCTGATCAAAGAGCCACAGGATATTGGGTAGAATGAGCCTTGGGTTTGGTATCAAGGAAGCTGCTAGCGAGATGTCATCAACTTCATGGAGTCTGTTACTTTCGAACACAACTCTTAAGTGATTCTGGAGGATGTGTAGTGTGGGGTTGGTTGGTTGGTCTGTTCTTTATGTGTGATGAAGGAGGTTGTCCCAGACAGTAAGAGAAATGAGACAGAGAGAGTCTAATCTACCACTAACACTGCCACTAACATTGTGTCTTAGGCAGCAGGTGTAAAATTTTGCTTTACATATTGCGATAAGACTTACAAAGCATATAGCACTTTTAAAAATCTTTATTTTGTGATATGTATGTCAAATGAGAATGAAACTTGAAAGAATGTGTCATTTTTGAAACATTTCTTCATTCTTTACCCATCTATTCTTCTAGAACATAAACCTCTTGCCTTATGAAAAAAAAAAATTTAAAAATCTCAGCCTGTGATTTCCAACACATGCCCACATTATCTTACTAAACATAACACTAAAAAACCCTGCCTCTTTGGGTTTCCTTTGAGGAGCAATTGTCTTTCAAGGATATTGCACTTGTGACTTGTGTATGGGAAGTAGTGGATGTGTACAATATTTGTTTTCAGTTGTTTCAGTGCTCTGTTTTGGGGATTGGTTTTGATTTTTTTTTTCCAACAGGTCAGATCATCAACATACCTGCACATATATATCTGATGTAACTTTCATTCCAAACCACTGGCAAAGGGTCTGTTGCTATACTGATAAAAATGTGAGCTGTTACAGAAAAAAAGGAAACTTAGTCAATACAGCAGAAACTGATTTTCTTTCTTTAGTGCTGTGTCATGTGTGAATTACCCATGAATTTGATGTTGTCACAAGAGATGCTGACATCCAAGTCTAGGAAGTAAATATCACATTAAGTGGATAAATTTAAAATACCTGCCTGATGTGATGCACTGTGTGGTCAGAGAGTAGTATATGTCTGTGCTTTTGAATTTGGGACTGGCTTTTTAATCAGTCAGCTTTCATGCAAAGAGAGGGACAGCTTTAAAATCTGTTTGCAAGGCTTTAGACAGAGTTACCCAAAGCCTGGAGTGTCTGCAGTTGATTTGTTTGTCCAGTCTGTTTCACTGCACCACTGTCCAGCTTTAAGCCCTCATTTAACCAAAGTCTCAGTGTGACTGGAGCAGGAATGAAGCCCCACAAAAAGTCAGCACATGAGGCCTCTGCATTTGAAAGCTGACTTTCCCTACCTGAGCCCTGTCTAAATCTCTGTAAAGTCAATGATGATGATATGGCTGGTTTTAGTCGGAGTTGCCTGGACTTCTCAGGTAAAAGTTTCTGTTTACTTGTTGAGATAGTGAACTAAATTCTGAGCTCTAGTTCAAGTTTCACTTAGTATTTTTGAAGTACAACTTTGGGTACATTCTTTTCATAGCAAAAGCAGCTGCTTTAAGACTTCTTAAAGTATAACAGTAAGAGATCAGGGATTTTTTTCCTTAAAATGTAATATTAATTTATTTCTAAATCAATATTTTAATAGAAGGCAGGGAAGGGACTATGGTAAGAGAACACTTATCCCAGTGGTTTCTAGAAGCTGTTACAGGAAAAGCACATGTGCCTCTGTCACTTCATGCTTGAAGCTTACTGTCTGTGATCTTCATGAACATGGTACTTTGTTCTTGAGATGTGTTAAAACATCCAGACCTCTGGGCAGTCCTGGTAAAGCTGCACTGGCATGGATTTGTGTACTGTACTAGCTGTCAGGATGTCCCGTGCTTAAGTGATACAGGCTGACAAACCCTGCATACCCTGCTAGTATCAGGGCAGTCTTTGTGACCATACACTGCAGAGTCTGTTGCCTGTGCCTGCCATAATTTAAAGTGCAATTACTCAAGACCTTTCCTGAACTCTGCTGTGGGTGATCCTCTTCTATTACGAGAACCCAGATAATACACTGTCTCATTTTGTTTTCTGTTTGTTCTGTGAAAGATTCACTAGATAAACTCAGGTGGGTTAAATATCAGGTCTTGCACACCTTCATGATGTTCTTCTGAAATACCCAAGTGCACAAGGCCTGCACGTCCGCAAGATGCTCGCGTTAACAGCTGCAAGATGCGCAGAATCAGCTGCCGAGTGATGCTGTGTGCGTTCTCATCCCACATGTGGCCGGTGGGTGAAGAGAAGATGGACAAGTCCTGGTATGAAACCTGGCTGTTCTCCAGCTCACACCTGAGAGGCTCTGGTGTGTGAGCAATGTTCTGCCATCGCTGATACAGCATACCGTACCTTGCTGGTTCTGCTTCAGTCACTGTTGTACGTGATTCTGGGTGAACCATTGCAAAATCTCATTTGGTGTTTTGGAAGCTGCATGTGGAATGTGCCAGGTAGTGTTCAGTGTATTCAGGATACTGAAGGTTTTTGCTGTACCCCTGAGTATCTTAACTTGTAAAGCAAAATCACCCCCAGCAAAATTGCCTGGGAAAAAATATTTGTGAATGAAAATGTTTTAGCAAGTGTTGCTGCTAACAATTCCCTCTCCCAGCAGATCTTTTCTGAATGAAAATTAAGGCTTATTATTTAAACTCTTTATACTGCTTAGGAATGCTTATACCAGGAGGGGCTGCAGAAGAGATCCATCTGTCAGGGGGTTTCATTTATGCTGGTCACACTTCTCATGCTGATTCTTGCTTGGTATTAATGGTGGGCTTCTGGAGATGCAGTTGTCTGCTTCTGCATGGTGCCATCAAATGTTTGAGAAGGCTGAATGGTGCTTTTTTCTTCTTTCTCCTCAAGAAGATACTGTTGACTTTTTTCAGCTTCCAGCTGTGAGGCACTGATGCCAGCTCAGGTGAGCTCTGTCTTTTCTGTTCAGATGTCAGTAAGGGGAACAACCACCCCCTGTTAGATCAGGCTTTCCAGTACTTCCTTCTGGCAGCTTTTGAAATTACTGAAATGGAAGCCTGGTCCGTGTACCTTGGCCAAAGTTAGCTTGGGTTACCCTGGGACTTTCCTGAGACCAGAATTTAAGTAGGACGGAGCATAGGCTTAATGCCATCTACCACAATCCCTTTCCTAGGTTGCCAGAGCTTTGCTGATACGTCCAGTGTGCCAGATAACTGACCCCATTCTACTGATGGCACTCCTGTCCAAAAAGACACCATCTGGGCCAAGGAAGTTCCCCTGCTGTGTCACATTTGATGAATCTGTCAGGTCATGAACGTGCGTTATGTTAGAAATACAGGTGTGTGCTGCAGAGGGCTGATCTTGTGTAAGAGCTGATGAGATGTTAAATTCCTGTGAATTTCCAGGAGGTTTTTCAACTGTAAGCCTGTATTTTGGGAGTGAGAGTGGTGCTTAAAACGTGTTCTGAAGAGATCGCCAGACCCTGGGACAACACCCTCTGGTTAAATATCATTGAGATTGGCTTTGCTTCAGCAAGGAGGCGTTCAGTGAAAACTGAATGAGCCTGTGAGGGGTTAGAGAAGTACCGGGCCTCTGTGCTGTACCTGGGAATTCCTGGGAAGCAGCTGTAACTCTGTTCAAGCCACCCCCCCGTACTGATCAGAGCACAAGTTGGCACTGTAGGGAAGGGGGCTGCTTTGCCTGCCACTCGTGGGACACCTTTGAAGTGATGCATGGATGTGGCCATGCACAGGAGCTGGCTGCTTCAGCCCTGTGTGTGGCAGACACTGTAAATATTGCAAAGTGGGAACCAGGTCCAAATTTCTCCTAAAGCTGATGTGTGTTAAGATACAGATTTCTGGTGTGGTCTGCTCTGGAGACTGGCCAGCAATGAAAAGGGGGAGGTCATTGACTCTGGGTTGGGTCCCTCTCAGATATGGGTGAAACAGGGCAAATACAAAAGCAAGGATATTGCTGGCTGGATTTCCTTAGTGTTGTATTAGATACGCAAAGAAAATTTCTAAGTGGGACCTTTTATTTTGTGATTATCTTTTAGTTTTGAGATATTGCGGTGTCTGTATATTCCAATGAAGTACTGAAAGCACTTGTCTTTGTATAGAAGATAACTGTTTAAAAATTGCAGCTAATCTTGTATTTCGGAAAAACATTTGTAGATAGGTAATTGTATAATGTTGAAGAACTTTACACTGGCATGTGTTGTATAGTTTATACAAGACACTTCATACTTCTGCAGAATTTTTTAGTTATTAAATTTCTAGTAACTTAATGTATAGTTTTGTATCCTTTCATGTATGTTCGTTTTCTCAGTATTACCACTTGCAGAGTTATTTTTAGTTTCTTAAACTGTAATTGGTTATATGTGTGATACACAGGGTTATTGACTGCAGCAATAAAGTGTTTCTATAAAAAAAACAGAAAAACCCAAACCCATTATAGTATCCATTTTGTTTGAAAAAGCATGGAGAGAAAAATTGAGCTCTCCCATAGTTAAGATGATGATCAAAACACAGACCTTGATGGCTCTTCAGTGTAGCAGACCAATGCAGAGTAGCATCCCATGATAATTCAATGATAAAATGATCCATAATGATAAAGGCATTGTAACCATGGGAATAATTGGGCAGCTCCTTCCATGCAGGTGCTTTGGACTCAAATACAGGAATCATGGGAAGAATTTTCTGGCTTCTGCCATGCAGGAGGTGGGGAGAGAAGATTTCCCATGGGCCTTAAAATCTGACCTTCCGGAATCAACACTGCTTGGGGCATCAAATGCTTCGTGTCTGAAGTCAGCATTTTCACATGCATCTGTCTAGAGGTGCAGAGCAGAAGATGCTCATTGCTATGATTTTCCTCTAGGAATAATATTAATTTTGTGTACAGAAGAGGAAATCTTTAGCAGTTTCACTAGAATACATTTCTAGCACCAGTAGGTGAAGGAAACTGCACTGCTGTGAGAGAGCTTGTTAAAAAGGCATACACACCAGAGAGCAAGGACCTGGAGAGTTGTAACAGACACAAGGGGGCTCAAAGAAAAACTTTGCCTGTCTAAGTTGGAATCAATTTTTCATTTTCTTTTATGTAAGGAAGGGAAGGAAATCTTTAAATCGGCAACCCTGAAGAGATGTCTTCCATGTAAAACAAAAAAGTCTCTGTCCTATATTCCCTTAGTACAGAAAGTCTGGCTGTAGTAAATTAAGCTACTTACATAAAGTTTGGAAATCCAACAAGACCTCTATACAAAAATACCCTCCTGGAGAGATGATAGGATAATTTCCAGGGCCTGCTGTTTGACTGGCAGTCTCTGAGATGAAAAGCTGATAAATGGTTTAAGGAACAGAGCCCGCAAAGCCATCTGGCTGCCAGTTAAAAAGTGTTCCTTGTCTTGGGCTCAGGCATCTCGAGTTAATTATAAATTAACTTACTTCCCCTTGTAAACCTTATTTTCATCTGAAAGAGTATTACTGTCACTGTGTGAAGTGTGTCCATCTCTGAGGCAGAGAACAGCATTGGCTCAGCAGCATATGGCACAGCTGTGACTCCAGAACAGGATTTTTCATCTGGTCCCCAGGAGCTGGAGCTGTCTGGTGAGTAGGTACTGGCATCTGGCTGGCAGGACCAGCATGAGCAGGGCAGAAGGAGGCAGCTGGGAAGCAGAAGGGAAGCGTTTTGCAAGATCTGTGGGTGCCCTGTGGAGGCTACAAAGATGTCAGAAGATGCAACTCCAGCTGCTGATTCTTAAAACCAATTCTTCAAAAGCCAGGCTTGTGCCTGCACTGCTGCTCAGCCCCCTGCACTACAGCAGGAACTAGACATCTATCCCACTTCCCACAGCCACCCTGTGGAGCAGTTTCCTATCAGCCACCCCTCCATTTCAGATTTCCCTATCCCTAGTGTGTTACCCATCTCATGCTGCACTTGTCCTTTCCTTTCAGTCTGCTTGTGCAACCCGAATTTCCTTCCTCTTGCCCCCTTCTTCACTTGCCTCTGGGCCAGGCTGGCTGTGAGGGTTGTGCTAGGATGTACCAAATTGCAGACAATGTGTGATTGATAGGAATGACCATAGAAGTACCCAAAAGCAACACTAAATAAGAAATAAATAAGTAATAAATAAATGCAAATAAAGGTTAGTGTCCACTTGTGATCCCAGTTTTTCCTGTAAATCCTCAGGCTCCAGTGGCTGATGCGTAGGATACTCTCTGACATTTTGGCATTGTATTGTGTACCACAATACAGCAGAAGAGGATGATTTTTCACTGCCTTGGGATGGATATATAACATAAGAAAATCAGGCAAGAATATCTCAATATAGAACAAGAACTGAACAGAGGAAAACTCAGTTCATCTTGGCTAGATGGAGAAAGGAGGCAGAGGGAAAAAAAAAAATCAAAAGAGCCCTGGACAGAGGAAATGGGTAAATTCAGTGCATTATACAGGGCAGAATAATTGGAAATGTAATATTGCTTAGGCAGGGTTGAGTGATGGCAAACTTTAGGAATACCCTTTAAAGTGCATTCTAGGAAGAATGGTGTCAGATGAACTGAAATCTGAAAATAGAGAGTAGACTTTGAGAGTATTAGGGAGATAAATGAAGTTGTCTCAAAGGCTTTAACATCAGAGGAGGGTTTGAAATAACTGAATAAAACACCAGAAGGCTGTACAGAACAGAGGGGGGGAAGATCACCACTCAGGGTGTGTTCATTAAATCCTGAAGCTTCAAGGAATCAGGCTTGCAATTCCTAACATTTTTAGACTTTGCTGAAACAAACCTCCCAGTCGATTTTGCTGGGACCGCCTTGCTGTGCCAGGTTGTTCTGATACTGCCTCAGAGGCCACCTGGAAACAGACCAAGCAGGCTTAGGAGAATGTATCGCTGTTAGAGCTGTAGGGTCTGGTGCTGGGACAGCAGGTTCCTTTGTCGTGGGAAACAGTTATCCTTGTGGTTGGGAAAGGAGAGGAAATGTCTTGGGCTGGTGACTTGATCCCAGCTGCAGAGCACAACTGTCTTGGAGATCATGTCATTCATATCTGCTATACTCCTGAGCACCCAAAATAACTCACCAAGTACTGTTGTCCCTTTCCTACAGATAAACTCTTCAGAGCTTGGCTTGCCACTTATTTTGCTCTCATGTTTACTTTCATGCTTTGAAAGTGCTGTATTAAAAGAGAACTGATTCTAATAATGGGATTATCTAAACCAGTATTTCCTCATGCCAGCAAGTTGATGCTTTATCCTAAAACTGCTTTCAGGACTGTGTTAAATTCATGGTGACATTTAAGCAGTTGATGTACACCAGAGAAATCAGGTATAAATTAAATCAAACCATTCTATCTAGCAGCCTTCTTGGAGCCTTGGACCAAATCAAGCTGTGGTAGAAGTTAGAGGTATTGTTTCAAGGATTAATTTTAACGTGCCTGATGTTGCACAAGCCTCTATCAGGACTCTACCTTTGCTGCTTGGGCTTAGGAATTTTCAGCAGTTTTCGGTCACCCACTGCTGTTCTAATTTAATGCAGTTGTCAAATGCATGCAGCACAAAATGATACCTAAAGAGCAGCCACTAATGCAGCTGTATTCCTTTTGTTTGCCTTGTCTGTGGCTTACGTGTCCCATGCCTTTGCTCTGCCCTCCTCTTCAGCACTGTCACCTGCACAGCCTCAAGCTGTGGTTTGGGGAGGGAAGCCTGAAGGCACATTGCTTTCTCTCTGCCTCCCTCCTCTCCTTAAGTGCCAGAGCTGCATGGCTACATCTGCAGAGGAACGAGAGGATCTGCACATTTAGGGGGAAGTGTTGAGGTCAGGCAGTTCCAGGTCCCGTGGTGCTCAGGGCTGAGGGAGGTGTCCTAACATCATGTTAACTGGGATAAAGGATCCAAGGAGCACCAGCTCATAAAGAGGGTAGGAAGTTCATGGGGATAGAGAGACTCTCAGCCTCTTGCAGCCTGGATAGTCCCTTGCAGAAAAGATATAAAGATACTCTTATTAAGTGTTGATGTAGCAGCCCTGCTGAGGGTTGTGTGAGATTCAACTGCTGTCAGAATTGCCACTGCCTGGATGGCAGAGCAAGGACACCGTGCTGAGCTTTGCAACTCCAGAGTTCATTACTGGTCACTGAGGTGGGACAGAGGCAGCTCTATGAACATGGAGGGTTTTTTCTGCCCATTTCGGTGGAGTAATATGCAATTAGTACCCATATGTTCTCAGCTATTAAACTCATGCCCCTTAGATTATTTATGTAGCTTGGAAAGTTCTGTAGGCTCTGCTGCTCCTCTCTGTCATTTGTTAATTGCTGCATTGTATCATTCCTCCCTACTCCCAGTCCTTATTAACATAGGGCCATCTGCCTGCCCCAACTCCCTGTAACCTCAGGAGGGCTGTAAGGTACGAGATCTTCACAGAACAGCCTTGTTTTCCACTGGCACTGTGTGAAGGCAAAGAGGGACGGCAGCTGACTTCTGCTGTGAGTTTCCACGTAGTAAATCTGAGGGATGTTTAGGCAAAGGGGAGCTGTGAGAAAGGAGCAGCAAAATCTGGCAGTGTAGGTGTGCCCCTTGCAGGCAGCTGTCCTGCACAAACAGCCAGACCAGGAATAGCAGCTGCTCATGTTTTAAGGGCCCGAGTTCCCAGCTGCCTGCATGTGGCTGCACAGATCCTGCTGCCTTAGTGAAACCCTCTTGGAGAGGAGCGAGGTGTTTGGGCACAGGTGGTGCAGAGAACAATTCCTGCTTCCCCAGGGAAGGGTGTGGGTCTCCTTAAGAGTGAAATAATGTACTCTCTGGATAAAATGGTTGAGTTTAGTTTTTGTGTATCCTGCATTTTGTCTGGCAGGATTTCGACAAAGTGTTTGAAATTATGCCAAAAGTAAAAGTTATCAATAATCTTTGAATGTGGACCTCATGATAAAAGTGAGAAGTGCTAAAAGAACAGACTTGAAAAAGAGACATAGCTGTGAAAAGGCTGGCGAGACACAATAAATGCATTCCTACAACTTTCCTGTACAGGACTGAGCTTATCTGGTATTTTTTAATGAGTTTGTAAAAAGAGTTGTAACATTATAGGGAGACTCCCAGTCACATCTTTGTACAGAAGAGCCTCAAATGGTGTGAAAACAGAACTCATCACTCAGGGGAATGGAATTGTGTTCAAATGCTACAACAGAGCTGGAATGCAAAGAAACATGGAAACCCACTGATCAAGATTTGAACACCACTTTGTTCCATGTTTGCAGTGAAAATGAAGGTGTCTAGAAAGAGTCTTCAGGTATAACAAATCTGTTTCTGAAGAACTTGATATGTTAAAAGGGTTTCAGATATCTTTCAATGAAGGCTGTGAACCTAAATTTAGAAACTTTAGGACTAACAGCTCTTGTGCAAAAATGAAACGGAACTGTGAGTTCTTCGAAATCTTTTGTAAAGGAAGGGGAAAGCAAGGAAGATCTGACTGGGTTTATGGTGCACTGCTACGTGGTAACATTGTCCATCCAAGTGATCACAGTGCAGGACCAAGGACCCCTTGCTGCTTAAATCTCAGGAGGAGAAATCAGATCTTCGTGCTGGGACTCTGCAGCTACCTCAGGTGGGTCATGCAGCATTTGGCCATTTTGCACTTCTGTTTGTTATTTAAACAGTAGCAGCAGACTAGAAATTAATGCTGAGTACTTTTCAGTCTTTTCTATGACTATATTTAAAAGCGTGTCCTGAATGTGGGAGAGCCTTGAAAACTAAGTCACAATACAGAAAATGCTTGAGTTTCTACTTGACCTGGGGAGACATAAGAGACCTTCCCTGACTCTTCTGGGTGAGCATAGCCTGGTATCTTCATGCCTCTGCAAAAGAAAAACAGGATTCTTTCAAGGGCAGCACAGGCTGTCCCTGTTGTCTCCCTTGTTGTGTGGCCACAACATATAAGTAACTTAGAACATAAAACAGGCTACAGCCTGTCTTGGGAAGCTGAAGCAGAGAATCCATAAGCATATTTTGTGATGTTGCTCAGCAGTCTGAGGGGCACAAGGCACTTTGCTACTGGACTTGCCAGAACAGAAACGGCACAGCCAGAAACAACTTCCAGCTGTTGGCTTTAATTGCTTACTTCTTCTGCATTTGAAGGTTGCTGCCTCACCTGTGGGCAGAGTGCCTCATACTGAAAGTGCTACCCAAGTATGGTTTGATTAGTTACCATCATACACTAATTAATCCAGCACAGAACCTCAGCTCTAACTGTACTGCAAGTAAAGCACTCCTGAGGTGGTTTTAATTTAGCTTGTTATGCATCTCTATCACTAGAGATTCACAAGAGCCAGAGACCAGCTAGGCCAAGTGCCTGACCTCGAGGAAATGAGGAGCTGTGTTTGATCACAGAGCAATGATGAAAGGACACTGAGATGTGCAAAAGCCCAGCCTGGCTCCTCTCAGCACAGTGTCACGCAGCTGGTGCTGCCAGCAGCATGGAGGAAGATAATCAGTAAGATAACAGGGATGGCAGCATGTAGTATTTGTTTGCTTGATGAAATACTAGAGAACAGTATTAGTGGTCTTGGTGTCAAAGTGCCAAGTGTGTGGTGTCACTGCTATGGCTTTATTTCTCAAGGCAAGTTGGAGGCTGGAGGAAGAACAGACAGCTCTTCTGTTCATAATGTCAGCATCTTAATGGTAGCAGGTGCTTGGTGTACTCAGGGTGGGCAGTATGAAATGGGACATTTAGAGGGCTTTCTGCAAATGGGGAGCTGGTTGTGTATGTACAGCTCTGATGTGCAGACAAGCTGGCATTTGATGTTACACACAGTAATGCAAAGACAGCAGGGTGTTTCAAAAGCTTAGAGGAATACAGGGAATAAAGCACAGGCACGTACAGGGCTCTAGGCCTGAAGAAAGTGTGAGCTGTACACAGATTTTCACATTTGGTGCATAGAATGAGGGTGCAGTGTGGTGCGGTATGGTGGAGTCACCATTCCTGTGAGTGTTTAAAAAACATGTGGATATGGTACTTAAGGACGTGAATTTGAGTGGACTTGATGATCTTAAAGATCTTTTCCAAGCTTAACAATTCTGTGGTGCTATGATAAAGTAACTTTGGATGATGAAGAGAGTGGGACATTTGCAGTGTGTAATGGGTTGTGTCAGTGTAAGGAGCACATAGAAGAATATGTGTGCCTGTGCACTGGGGTGCTTTGGAGGTGAGGTTACAGAACGCAGAGCAGTTTAAGATTAAATCCTGTAAACGAAGAGGTGGTGAGGCACACGGGGCTGTGCCAACACGAGCTGTGCTTGGTAGGATCAGGAATACTGTGTGGGGAGCACTGTGCTGCAGAGCCGAGAGCTCTGGACTCTGTAGTTGTGAAACTGGAAGGTTATCAAGAGGAAAGCAGAGCGTGGAGAGTTGTGTAAATCGTGCTGGTGTGTGTGGAGCTGGTGCACAGCGAGAGGGCAGGTGTCCGGAGAGGGCTGAGAGCAGGGTGAGGGGCAGGGCTGGAATTCAGGGTGAGGGGCTGCTGTGCCCAGGGCTCGGGCAGGGCTGGAATTCAGGGTGAGGGGCTGCTGTGCCCAGGGCTCGGGCAGGGTGCCGGGCGGAGGCAGCAGCAGCAGAGGCGGGCTGGGGAAGGTGTGCCGGGCTGGGGAAGGGGCGGGCAGCGCCGAGCCGCCCCGTGCGGTGGCAGAGGAGGAGCGGGCAGCGCCGGGCAGGGTGCGGGCAGGGGCAGGAGCGCGGCTCAGCAGCTCCGGTGGGGCCGAGCCGAACCGAGCCGAGGGGACCATGCCGTCCTACACCGTCACGGTGGCCACGGGCAGCCAGTGGTTCGCGGGCACCGACGACTACGTGTACCTGACCCTGCAGGGCACGGACGGCTGCAGCGAGAGGCACCTCCTGGACAAGCCCTTCTACAATGACTTCGAGCGCGGCGCGGTGAGTCCCGCGGTGCGCACCAGCCGCCGCCCTTCTCCCCGAGCCGCGGAGCATCGCTCGCACCTCGGCCGCCCCTGCCCAGAGCCCCGAGGGGCTGGGCAGGACTTTGTTTAAGCTCTAGTCTCCGTGTGCCGGTGCTCCGGAGCGGGACACCGAGGCTGAGGTACTCGCTGCCCTCCCCGGCCCTGCCCTAGGAGTTAGCTGTGCTCAGTCAGGCTTTGGCAAAGATCCTCTTTGGATCTGACTTACGATAGACTTTCAGATCTCCTGGTACTTTCTTTACAAATACTTAAAAAAAACTGTGCATTTCCTGTTCATAGGTGATGTTTAGGGTCATTATTTACTAATAGTTAGAGCCCTGTTATCTCCAAAGAATTAAACAAAGAGGTAAGAGCATCTAGTGGGAATTACAATGCCTGCCTATGTGTAAGGCAAAGTCAGTGAAAGCTGAAAAACAGCATGAATGTGTGAGAATGAAGTTGTGGCTGGCCTATCAACTGTGCTCCTCTTCTTAACCCGGATTTCTGCTGTTTGCCGTGCCCTGTCCTCTCTGTGGTCCTATCACCGTATCTGGACTGTCCAAATGTAATTGCTTATACTCTGAGCACTGATTTAGAATGGCATTTATTTATTTGCTTATTGTCCATTCTGGAAATAATAGACCTTTTTTCCTCCCCTTCCAAAATGTGTATTTCACCTGGAAACCAAATTCAGTTTCTAGAAGGTCTGATGAGATGGAAACAAGTTTGAAAGTTTAAAAAATATGTTCAGAAGTTTGGAAGTGAGACCTACCACTGCATGTACAAGTGAGCCTTCAGTGTCATGGTGCTGCTTTGCCTTGAGGTGTGTTTTTTCAATCATGTGGTTTGCAGCCTGAATTAGGTCCATGGTCTCTTCTGTGTTAAATATCATGGACACACTTAACAGAAGTAAGCATTTTGAGTAGGTATTGATGGCATGTGTGGCTGTGGTCCCCCAGATATTTACTAGCCACTGCCACTGAAGTTAATTTTCTTTCATTATTAAACATTCATTAGCTTAGGACCTTTTTACCTGAATCTCCCCCACTTGTTTGCTGAATAGTCACACGTTTTAGGCAAAACCAAACAACATTACCAAGGCGAAGGAGACCTCAGACTGTCCTGCAAACTTAGGGTTGGGGTGCTCTCCCAAGGGGCCGGAGCCCTGCCCGGCTGAGGAAATCACCACCAGGCTTTTACTGACCTTATCTTATTCCTGGACTGCAGAAGAGGGTTTCAGGTGGCTCTGATGGAGAGCCTGGCAGTACTCTGAGCATTCGGCTGGACTGGATCCTGTCACAGGATGAAAATGCCATGATGGGAGCATTCAGTATCTGCCCAGCAGCAACTGGCAAGCTGCTGTGGGACCAGATCCAGCAGGAGCAGAGATACATCCACTGGGTGAGGGGAACAAACAGAGGACGTGGGTGTTAGTAGCAGTCAGTTTTTCAGCATGTATTTATCATTATCATGTCAGAATAAGTCTGTGTTCTGTAAAGTGTCTGGCTCACTGGGCACTTACACCACAATGTGCTGAATTTTGGTTTTGAGGATGTTTTCTTGGGGAATGCAGCATGTTTTTCCAGGCACCTGTTCAGGTTACACTGTGCCCAAAATACTGTGTTTTAATAATATGTTGTGTAAGGGAAAAAGGAAAGAAAAGAAAAATACCGGTACAGAATCAGAAAAATAAAACTGAAGTGGGCCAGAAGAGTCTGAGTTTGAATTTGGTTGGTTTGCAAAGTGTAGCAATTGTTTTCACAGTTCTGCCTTTATTGCTTCTTTCAGCAACATCTTTATACTTTTTTTTTTTTTTTTTCTGCAAAGCAATTAAATTGTTAATCCATTCCTAAACAAATACCACTTTTTAGAGGATGAGCAGAATTTTGCAGCCTTATTTTGTATGCTGTTATTTTCCAGGTTGGGGTTTTTTTTTTCCTAAACGTTGGGCCAGGCTCTGTACTTCCATTATCCTCCTAATGTCTTCATTTGCATTATTGCAAATTGGGCATATTACTAGATGTGATTAAAGAGGGCATGGCCTGGATCTGAGTAGGGGATTTGCATGGCAAATGTTGACTGAGGGAAGAGTATGTGTAAAATCCTGAAGGAATTTTTACAATGGTAGCTCAGTTGTAGTTTTTCTGACTTCAAGCTCTGGGCACAGGCAACGTTAAAATTCATAGTTTCTTTTCTTTCTGTAGTGTCTTTTTTCCCCTGCTGCTGAGTGATTTCAAAGTTTTATGGTATTCCTCAGTTATCTCTTTCCTTCCTGTTCCCCTTTCATCTGCTTTTTTGCTTTTGTTGAAAGAAAAGTACTAACATGTATTTCCAGTAAGGAAATAATAGCTCTTTCCACTTAGAGCTTTGTGCTTATAGAAAGAGTTGTCTGTGCCATCCTTTTTCCAATATAAGAATGGTCAGTAGGAATCCCTCCTCAAAAAGAGAGAAGACTTAGGTTTTGCATGAGATTAAATTGCTTGAACAGGATGGTACAGGAGTTTGGACAGTCCAATAGTTTTCATTACTTCTGTTCTCTCACTCTGCACTCAAACTGTATAAAAGCTCCTTGCACCTCTGGCTCACCGTGCAGCCACCCTGATGTTACCAAGGGAGCTCATACAACAAATGTCATAGAAACCTTGAGCAACCGAGTGTCAGAGCAGCACCTCCTTCAGCTGCTGCTGGGAGAGCAGTGAATAGTTTCACAGCCGGCATGTTTTCCTAAGACTAGCAAACATTTCAAGGAGTTTTAGATTTTTAGGTTGCATCCAAAAATGTTTCTCCATTTCTGGAGCGTTTTGCATGTTATTGTTTGTTCTTTTTTTCATCTTTCCATTGCACTGCAGTCCAATAATAGGACTTCCTCTTTTCACCCACAAGGAGCTGGAAAGCTGTGTGAGGAAAAGCTAGGTATGCCTGGGTAGTGCTGGTGGTACTTCCTGCATGCGCAGTGGATCACTGGCTGTATTCTGCTCCGCAGGTTGACTCCTATGATGTGACTGTGGAAGAAGACCTTGGAGAAATTCAGCTAATAAAAATTGAGAAACGGAAATACTGGTACCAGGATGACTGGTACCTTAAGTATATCACCGTTAAAACACCAGTGGGTGACTATTTGGAGTTCCCATGTTACCGCTGGATTACAGATGAAAAGGAAATCGTCCTTCGAGATGGAAGAGGTGAGCACTATTAGAAATCAGATTTCCTGCAGAACACCTGGAATACTTCCATCTCTCCTTCCCATTTCTCCACGTACCTCCCAGTCTTCTCTCTCTGATGAAAACCCACTGCCAATCCCCTGCTGCATCCTAGAGAATGGTCTTTCCCTAGCAGGAATATGTTCTGAGCAGCCTGTTGGGCTAGGTGCACTGGCAGTTGGGTTGGATGTTTTGGGAAGCACATACAAGGAAGAGTCCTAACACTGGCTTGTTACACTGGTCTTGAAGGCTGATGCTAATGCCAAATTTTTCACAACTCCACATCCCCATTGCTGGAGGCCCTTTTGATCTAATTAGAATTAGTGTTCCCTGTTTGTTTCATATTAAGCTCCTAAGTGGCCTATGATTAATTGCCTGTAAATGGTCTTGTTTTCATGAGAGTGAAATAAAGTCCCAGGGTTGTTCAGCAGGTGCAAACTGAAACAGCAGCTTGCTTTTCATTCATTCTCTGCATGCTGTCTAGTCCAGGACAAGGCAGAGTGATGGATTTGACTGCTCCAAGTAATGGTGGCCAACTGAGAAAAGTGTTTTTTAAGTGTCTCTGACACCTACTTGCTGTGACCAGGGTTTGGGCAGACATTTGTCACTGATGTTTGCTTGTTCCCCTCCCTGGTACCTGGGGTAGGTTGGCTACTGTAGTGTTCTGCAGCATGAGTGCCTGAAAACAGCTGAAACAAGTGAGAGGTGGCAGGAAATAAATGTTTATACTCCCCTTTCATTTTCGGCTACTCCTGGCTAGGGCTTTTTGTGTTTGAAATCTTTTGTCCTAAAATGACAACTAAGTGTCAGTTTCTTTTTGGTTTTTCCATTTTTCATGATTTTTTTTTTTTTTTTATAACAACTGTACCACTTCCACGGAAGGCAGCTTTGTAGCTTTGTGTGGCTTTCAGAGTGTAGTGAGATAACGGAGAAGAGCAAATGAAACTCTCCTGGTACCTTGAACACAACCACCTGGAAACCATTAGCTATACATGTTACCAGCTGTATTACCTCTGATATTTCCATCCCCAAGCAGCTTTTGTCATGAAACTCATACTGGTTTTATCTGCCTCCACATTTGTATATGTAAAGTGAGTCTCGTACCTTGCCCTTTCTGTGATCACTAAGGAAGTCTCTGTGTTATTTAATATTATATTGAATTCATGGTCAGAAGAGCAAAATGTCTGGAACTGAAGTCTCATTGTTTTTTTCTTTCTGTTCTCATGACTGGAAGATGTGCTCCAAGCTGACAGGGAAGAGCATTGCTCAAGGAAAGAGGCTTGGAGATATTTCCTGAAGATGCCATTTAGCAGAGAAGATGAGCTGGAATAATGCTGTGGTTTCTCTTATTGACAGAAATTCCCCTAGATACTGAACTGTAAAATTGGTTCCCATGACCCTCTTCAGACCATATAACACTAGATATGTACAGCAAATGTCTACATGAGAAATCCAGGGTTTATATATGGTTGAGACAGGTGTTCCTAGCTTAAGCCAATTTTCCCTTGGAAGCACCAAGTCAGGAGCTCATCTTCTTCCACAGATTCTCTAAGGACCTGTGTGTCTACTCAAAAGTACTAAATTGAATCATGTAGGCATTTCCCTCAGAAATTTTGTAAAGGTATCGATCAGAAGTTTGAAGGTTTGAAAACTTTGCTGTCCTTCTCAACACCTGGGCTGTGATAGGTGGAGGAACCTCATAACCCTGTTTCTTTTCCCTGTTAACAGCAAAGCTCCCCCGAGATGACAAGACTCAGATTCTCAAGCAGCACAGACGCAAGGAGCTCGAATCCCGTCAGAAAATGTACCGGTGAGTTTCCCCCTGCTCCAGGCTCTGTCCTCATCAGGTCAGAGTTTGGCAGAGTATATGCACATCATCACATGCCTCTTAACTATTCAACTGCTTGCTGGATAAGAGAAAGCCTAAGTTACTGTGTTGGCCATATCTGGTTTTGACTTAGATGGAGTTAATTGTAAAGTGCATCCTGGTGCAGGCAGCTGTACGAGCTACTTGTGCCTCAGATTAACCTGTCTGCAAGATTTCACTGGGAATTCAGTGGTACAGCCTCTCTGTGGGCCCTCTGGCACACCATTGTGCTTTCAAGGAAAATCTTCAAGGAATGTTTGAAGACATATTTCATTTGCCTATTACAAGCAGTACTACAGTTTTAGAACATGATCTGAACATGTCAGCTTTTCCTGGAGCTTTTTGGCTGCTGCACCAAGCTAGCTTGAGTTGTTTCCTGCACCAGGGTGCAGTGAGCACCTGGTCCTGTTTGAGTGAACTGGAATGTGCTAACAGAGTGCAGTTGTGATAGATAAAAATCTCACATATGTATATTATACATATATATTTCACATATATATATATACACACATATACATATGTAATTTATATATATATCACATAATTAATAATATAAAAAATATATTATTTATAATATAAATTACATAGATATTTTTTCCTAGTTGGTGTCATGATGAAAAAATTCTGTCTTTTCTCAGAGGGTAACTCCAGAAAGCCTTTTTCTTTTTTTTAAAAAAAGCCTTTGCCTAGAGATGTGCACTGTTGAAATAACAAAAGTTTCATGCACTTGTATCTCCTTATTGGGAGAGAAAGGGTCAGTTCACAATTGATGGATTGAGGCTTGGTGTGTGTGTGTTGTTTATTTCATTTGAACAAGAAAGGCTGTTCCCTACAAATTATGGAAAATAGACCAGAGGAAAATACGGTTCAAAAAGAGGTGTGCCACAAAATATGATTTACATATGCAATAAGGAAGGGAAAACCATTTGTAATTTCAGGGAAATACCTACTTAAAATTCTGATGCATAACTGATAATACACAATGCAGTCTGTGTGTGGCAGGCAGTTTGGCAGTACCATTGAAACAGTATTCTTTACGATTCACTTTCTTTTGTTTTGAAATAAAATGGGACAAAAAATGTGTGCCATGACCATTAGGAGGTAGAACAGTTGAATCAAGACTCGGAGAGTGCCTTTCGAAGGAATGCATGCCTGGGTAGTTTTAGCTGCTGTATCTCAGTTGTGCAGAGCTGTAGTCTCAAGAATGAGCATGCATTGGGCAGCTGTCTCTCTGTCCCTCCCCTCATAATACATTTGAAGCTACTGCCAGTTTCAACCAAACGTTCAAGTGTGTAGAAATATCAGAGCTATTAAGTTACTTCAAGCTTTGTGAGGTAGGTGGCCAAGGATTCTTCAGGATTCTTCAGGATACTGGTAGGTATTGATATGGTGTAAATCACTTGTTTTGGCCTGAGTGAGTCTGATACCAAATTCCTTTATAGCAGTGAGTCACCAAACAGTGGAGTTAAGGACACAGCTCCCATGCTGATAAGGTTATAAGGGTAATCAAACCACTCTTATTTTCTCAGCTGGAAGGAGTGGCATCCAGGCTTTCCCCTGAGCATCGATGCCCATTCTCACAGTGAACTGCCTCGTGACATCCAGTTTGACAATGAGAAGGGAATTGACTTCATTCTGAACTACACAAAAGCGTAAGTGTTTGTGGAAATTCAGGAGTTTGCAGAATCTCTTTTGGGCTAGGGTAAGGATCTGATAACCTTTTAGGTTTCATTGAATCTCAGAATTGGACTATTTTTCCCAAGCACTGGATCAGCAGCCAATCAAAGTAGGAAAGTAGGATTTTAATGGATTTGTTATTTTATTTTTTAGTTATCAATATTTAAGTTATTCACACTGGGAACTGACTGAGCCTCTGCATTCTTGTTAGCCATGGTTTTGGTTGCAGGCAGATGGAGGAGACACTGGTGAAAAGCATCAGCAGGACTACAGGCACCTGAGACCTTGAGCTTTTCATTCAGTTCTCAGCATCGCCCTGGGAGAGATACCTTTCTCCTCTGACCTTTGGCAATAATTACATCTTTTGGTCACATACACAAAGGAGATTGTTATCAATGCACCCTTGACATCCTGCTGGAGAAAATCTCTTCCGAGCAGCTCATCAGTTATCCACACCTGCGTGTATTCTGCTTGGGGTGGCTGGGTTACCATCCACCCACTTGCACTTGTCATGTCATTGAGGAAGGCATTGGATGGCCAGTGGATGAGCCTGAATAATCAATCCTGCAGAGCTCTGGAACAGTATGGTGTCAGTGAGGCAGATGGGACCTCTCTGACCTGTGAGTCTCCTTCTGTGCTGTCTGTGATATGCCCAGGCCATATCACACTGTCTCAGATATCCCATCACACTATCAGGTGGTGGAATAGTCTGACATGAGACGAGACTGGTCCTTACATGTCAGAGCATTCTGGGTATATTTTTTATTCATTTATGCAGCTGAATTCCACTACCAGCGCAGAGTCAAAGCAGCATGGTGTTAGCCAGTGTAAAACAGCTGGTCCCAGCTCATATAGAAGCTCTGAGTGATGCAGGAGCATCAGCACCTGAATACCGGAGTTGAGAGGTTTGCCATTAGGAGAAATAAGCAGTTTGGAGGCTGCATTCCCCATCCAGCAATCCCATCCTGCCAGGCTGTGGCATGTTTTCAGAGGTCCTGAGCCGCTGCCAAGTGAAACTTGGAACCAAATCAACAGAGTGCAGGGACATCTATCTTTGTCATTGGCTGTAAGGGGCCCTCTCCAAGAAATAGGAACCTGAAACTGTACTGCAGCCAGATAGCCATTCTGGATAACTGGTGTGACGCAAAACAGATTCGTCCAAGCAGTGGCAATGCTTCTTGTCTGGCTGGCACTTTTGGCTGCAAAATCTAGACCTATGTTTCTGGTCAAGTGACTTGTGAAAATCTTTGGAGAAGAGTTTGATAGCCCTTATCTAACTACCCTGATGTGCTTTGGGAGCTTGGAACAACTTTTTGCAGGAATGGAGTGGAGAAACATGGGGGAAGGCATGGGGCCTGATTTCAGTTTGAGGGCAGTAGGAGGGAAGACAGGGAAGTGTGCCTGGAAATCCAAAGGCAGGTGTGGAGCTGCAAAATGTAGCAGTGGGCAAGGAGCATTTTCAAGGGGAATATATGAGAGCTGGGAGAGTTACATGAGACATAGGAAGTAGTAGAAGAGGGGAGGGGAAATCCCCTTTTCTTGGGACCTGCAAAAATGAACTTTGAGGGAGATATGTCTCAGATACTCTTTCTGCTGTTGCACGGTTGGATCTTTAGATGTTTTTGACAGTGGATAACTCTGTAAGTTTAAAGGATTAATTGTGTGTAGGTGGAGATAATCCTGAAGGTGTCTGGTGCTGATGTGACCTACACTATCCAGTAAATGGAAACTCACAGCCTGGATTCTGTGCCAGAAATGCAGGCTTGTGTAGCTATTTTGGACCAGTGCTGCATTTGGGCAGATTAAGTTCTGCAAGCAACTCTGACTTTTTTTTTCCTTACCCTGGTTTCTGTTGTGTGCCAGAGATTTCAAAGTACTTGATTTCTTGAGGAAAACAGATTTTTGTTTCCTAAGTCCTTTGGAAGTTTTTTCCAAGCTAGGAAATGTGAAGAACTTCCTCCTTTTGGAAGTAATCTTCAAAACATCTGAGAATGGATGTGTGGCTGGCATTCAGCAGGTCCAACCACAGCAGGTTTGTGACCATAGCAGGTTTGTGCTGTGCCTACTGCTTGGTTTGATCAGTAATCCCAGGTAGGAGGAGCTTCTTGGGCGGGAGAGGAGCAATACATACCTGCTTATATGTCAAATGTTTTCTAATCTTAGAGCAGTTTTGAAGGAGGGCAGAGGCCCTGCAGGACCTTTAGTGGAAACTCTCAAATGAGTCAAGCTATTGAGTTATGTTTTTTAAAACAATTTAACCTTCTGGTGATGGTCATGCTGCCTCCTGAAGTTCATCTGTGATTCAGATACCTGGTCCCTATCCAGAAAGTCCTGCCCAGCGGTTACCCTTGCTTTGATCCTTGTACAGTGATTCCATGTCCCCATCAGGTGTGAAAAGGCCTCTGGAGAAGCCATCACCTGTTCTAGCCTAGACAGCTGTGTGACTTTTACTTCCAGACACTCCTCCAGGCACCTCTTAGCCTTGACTGCCATCTGCAGCAGCAGAAGCAGCCCATTCTCCGTGCACCCCGTCTGGGCTAAGTGCAGGAGCAGGTCCTTTGTCTATGTTGTGGTCATGTTGGTCTAGAGCCCTCCTTCCAGATAACCACTGTCTGTTTCTCCAGGCTTTTGGTCCTCTCCAGCCAGTTCTGATCCAGTCTTTTCTATACATTTGCTGATTACAAATCCAGCCTCCTGGGATTCTTCTCAAATTATTTTTTCACAATGTTCCATGCAACACTGTGGCTTTCCTTTACTTTGTTACCTGTCCTGCGTATCTTCATGCGCTGTATGTGCTTTTATTTGTGCATTTGGGGTGTTAGTGGGAAGCCAGCTTTCTTTTTCAAATTCATTATTTGCTTTCTAGTCAAAGTAAATGATTTCCATCTAATAAAAGCAGTTTAGCATTTATACAATAATTTAGGATTCATCATTTCATATAAAGGGAACTTGCTTGGCTGTGCTGTTTTTGCTGAATTAGCAGATGAAGTCAGACATTTCTGGCTCCCAGCCCACTGTGTTCATGTGATGTCTGCAACCAAGAGCCTTGGTTTCTGAGGTTAGATGTGAACATCAAGTTTATTCAGCAGCTCAAGTAAATAGAAAGCTCTCCAAGTCAGGCCTCACACTTTTGGGATCCAATCTGGCCTTGGTCATGCAGATACAGTACCTTTTTTTTTTAGGAATAGTGGCTGATTTATCCTGGGTTGTTTATCTTATGAATCTGTGCACCTCTCTCAGTCTCTTTGTGTCACCACTTTCTGAACTGGTGTTAGCAGTGCCCTCAGCACTCTCAGCTGATGCTAACCACTGGCAGTGTCTGAAGCACTAGCTTCTTTAACTACATTTTTTATAGGTCCTAAAGCACTGCCACTGTAGGCTGCTGAGGACAATTCTAGAATGGAGTTCTGTAAATGCAATAGCAGAAGTTGGGCCCTTGATGTGCCTTTCAGCCTTCTGTAAAGGCACAGCCTGCAATATTAATTTGGTAGGGTGACTAATCCCACATTCCAGTACTAAAAGTTCATTGTGTTTAGATATATAAAATCATGTAAAATAACAGGAATGGGTATTGAGAAAGCTGGACATTATTTTTTCAGATATGTTTTGTTTTGGTTTTTTTTTTTAGGATGGAGAATCTTTATGTCAACCGTTTCATGCACATGTTCCAGTCCTCCTGGAGTGATTTTGCAGATTTTGAGAGGATCTTTGTCAGAATCAGCAACACAATCTCTGGTGAGTTTATCAGCATTTGCTTGTGTTTGCGTCATGGAGTGACTAATTAGTTGTCTTGTTTGATCATCTGATTAGGATGGATGTGGCTGACCTCCTCTTCTGCTCTCCAATAAATAAACTGTAATCTCAGACTGCTGATCACACCCACAAGACTTAAAAACAAACTTATGATCTCACAAGGAACTAGAATTACTGGGAATTGCTCGGTGACATTCTCTGCCCTGAGCTATGCTGGAGGTCAGGGCAGCTGGGCACATGGCCCCTTCTGGCTTTTAGAAATGTATTTTCAAGTATGTTCAAGTCCCATAGGACAGATTTTTGGAAGTATTTTGCATCTAAACCTGGAGATAACTTAGTGGGAGTGATCATAGTAGCTGTTAAGGCATTTTTGAAAGTTTGATTGTCCATGCCCCACTTCATCTGAACACACAGAAAATCTCCAGGAAGGGAAGTCTGGTAATGTTCTCTGTTAAGGGCAAGCACGAGTGTGACCCCTCTTGCCTCTGACACAGTCCAGATCAAAGGCTGTTGCCTGATATCCCAGCCATGTGCTCAGTTGCCTGGCTGCTGAAAGTCCTGGCTTCTCACCCCTGTTGCAATATTGGGGTGGGAGGGGGGTACCAGTGCCTTGGTTCTGCTGTCCTAAGACCTGTACCTGTCACAGACCTGTAGCTCTTCTCAGCTGGTTCTCTTGGGCCATTTGTGCCAGTGGCTTGGGGCACCTCAAATGTTTTTCAGGGGTAAATTTTTCCCCACAGGGAATTATTTTGACAGAAGTCATTCCAGATAGGAAAGCCTCTGCTGTTAGGCCAGCAGATCTGGGGGAGGGTTACAAAGAGCTGGGAATGACCTGGAAACCGCAACTTCTTCACCTGGTCCTGGTGCAGGCCAGGATAAGTCATCAGACCACAGTCCAAGGAGCCATGCTTCTTAATGGAAATTAGTGTGAGCTAGATCTGAAAAAGCTTGTGGCATTGTACAAAATGTCACTTGTCAAAAATGTGTCAGAATTATTTATTCATATTGCATTACATATCCTCCTGTGCCTGCCATTTCATACATCCTCTTACTAGAAGACAAACATCCCTGTCTAAGGGTATGAATTTCACTTTTGCTTTCAGGGACAGTTTCTGCAGTATCTTTCATTCTGTGAAAAAAATCCATTCATGTAATATTGACATATCAAAGACAAAATTATGCTTTTCTTTAACCCTTTTCAATACACAAATCCTAAAGGTTACTTAAAAACCCAGTAGAAAGAATTGCAGACAGTCGGGGGTTTTGAGGTTCATGGTGCCATTTCTGTAGAAATGAACTGGGGAACTTCCAATTTGTGAGCCAGGCCCAACATTCTGGTATCATCCATGGTTACTTTATCTTTTTGTATTATTGTACTTGTATTATTGGAAATAATTTGATACATATAAAGCTACTTTAAATTGGTTAATGTGTGTCTCCTTGAGTGTGTGTGAATAGACTGTTTAGACTCTGCAAAAGAAAATGGTTTTCCCTCCTTCTCTAGAGTTTTACTCTTCTTCAGGCTGCCTAGGGATCAGTTCAGAGAAATAAGAGAAATTACTCTTTTCTTGGGTATAAACCCAAGCACATAAGGTGGCAGAATTGTTAAAAACTAATTACAGCAATTTACATTTAGTAAGATTGCATCCTAAAGCTCTTTTAACACAAGAATTAGATGTGATCTACAATTAATTTCATTGATAACATTTCCATACTCATGGAAAGCTCCAATTCTGTGACATTTAAACATTAAGCATCGGTCTCAGTTATATTAATACAAATCTCAGTTTGCTTTTTTACAAGCCTTGGCAGAAACAGGGATAGTGGAGAAGGTGGTTCAAGGCATTTTTCAGTCATGCAGTTTCTGTCCAAGGTCCTGAGTAATTTTATTCGTGGTGGAGACTTCAGATACAGCTCCAGACTCATAAGGCAGTTGATGGAGATACTGTAAATGTAATTTTATATAAACTTATGTTTTTTCTGCTTTATGAAAAAGCATTGCGGATTTTGAGACTTTTTTTTTTTAATTATCACTGCATTCCCTTGGGGCCTATATTTTTAATCCTTTTACCCTTTTTAGAAAAATAAATTGCTTTCAGAAAAAGTTCTGCCTTGTTTAAATCTAGCCAGCAGTGGAAAACTTCACTACCTTCATTTTTCCCCTGAAGACACCAATGGGATTTTTCATAACATGACATTACAAAACAGAACACTGCAACTATAGAAAATATCCATTAGTACTACATATGTAATAATAAAGAGATGGAGTATCCAAAACTAGAGTTTTATTGAGATGTTAATCTGGGCTTATATCAGCAATTGCAAAATAAATAGAGGGAAAACAAGTCGAACAAGCAAAACAACAAATGAGGAGTTTTACTGAGATAGAGTCCAAGCCCTTCCCCAGATTTCCTTCACCCATCTCTGGCTAAAAGAATGGCTCCAGACACTGTTGTTCTTTTCCTACACAGATTGATGTGTATTTCCCTTCTCCTGCTTGTGCCGCCCATTTTTAAACTTGCCCCTCTCTACTGCATGCTCTGTGAATTTGAAGAGGGCAATTTAAAAATTTCATGGAAGACCTGGGAAGGTGTTTTACAGATGAAGAGAGTATTCTTCATGACAGTGGAATATTTTATTCTTCATTACTTCTGTACATGGAGAAACAAATGATCATCAATTTAATTATTCTCAGTGTGAGAAGCAAGGATTAAATTTTCCATTTAACTTCAGTGATTTTTCTTGAGAACCTGTCACCTTTTGAATCCTTTTCTTGCTGCTTTCTGTATTCAAAGTTGTAGTACTGTATAATGGGAAGGTGAGGGGGAAGGGAGGAATCCTACGGTGCAGTAGATATTGATGGTACACAGATGTTGATGTTGTAGGCTTGTTTTCCCTTTAGAATATGTGATGCAACACTGGAGGGAAGATTTTATGTTTGGCTACCAGTTCCTGAATGGATGTAATCCTGTGCTGATCCGGAGATGCACAGAGATACCCAAGAAGCTGCCTGTGACCATGGATATGGTAGAATGCAGTCTGGAGAGGAACCTGACGCTGGAGGAGGAAGTGAAGGTACAGCTCTGGGTCAGGCTGGGCTCCACCTGTTCCTTCTCACATCCTCTAATCTCCACAATCTGTTCTTACTGCCTTCAGCCACATTTCTGTTCTTCAGGATGTGTGATATGTCATGGCAAAGCTGTTTATCTCTGCAGTCTGGCAATGCTCCTGTTGGCTCTTCTCCTGCTGTCCTGGAGCTGCAGGCAATGCCTGTCTCCAGGTCCAGTGGAAGAGCTATAACCAGGAAATGACCAGTCCTTTTTCACTTGTTTTCTTTGAAAGGTTAGAGATTGACTGGATGTCTCAGAGGTGAAAGGTGCCTCTTCCTTTCCTGGTGTCATCTTACCTGCTAACATGCTGAAGAAGCTTTGACAGGGGTGGTGCCTTGCTTTTGTTTGTGCAATTAACACAGGGTTCTCTTTAGCTGGCAGTGTGAAACTTGCTTGCATGCGGGTGTCACTGCATGAGTACCAAATACATAGATGCTCCTTGCTGAAAGGCTCACTGCCCAACTCTGCAGACACAAGTCAGGTAGTTTGTGCAGTGGTACTTGCTGTCTCAATGGCATTATTCCTGAGCTGCCATGAGCAAGGGAGGGCCACGGGTTGCTTGTAACCACCAAGCTCAAGTCAGTCTCTGACTAAAACTTCCCATTCCTTTCCATTCCTTTGTTCCAAGCTGCTTGCTGTTTGCATATCATTAAAACACATCATGCTTTTTGTTTTGTTTTGTTTTTGTTTTTTTTACTTTGGTTGGTTTTTTTTTTTTTCATCTTTTCCCACAGCAAGGAAACATTTTCATTGTGGACTATGAGCTGCTTGATGGTGTGGATGCCAATAAAACAGACCCATGCACAATACAGTACTTGGCTGCACCCATCTGTCTGCTGTATAAGAATCTGGAGAAAAAAGTTGTGCCCATTGCGATCCAGGTGGGCTTGCTGTCAGGGTCTTTAGAGGGTCACAAGGTCTGCTGTCTCATTTTAAACAGGAAGGACTTGGGGCTTCATATTCTTTTTATATCTTTCAGCTTGGTCAAAAGCCTGGACCAGACAATCCCATCTTCCTTCCTTCGGATGCCACGTATGACTGGCTGCTGGCTAAAATTTGGGTCCGCTCCGCTGATTTCCACATCCACCAGACAGTGACCCACCTCTTACGGACACACTTAGTCTCAGAGGTGTTCAGCATAGCTATGTTCCGGCAGCTGCCTGCTGTACATCCCCTCTTCAAGGTTAGCCCTTGCATGAAGGGAGGGTGTATGTGGGCTGGGGTGGTTATCACATCAGTTGGACAAACCAAAAGGAAGTTCTGGCCATCGTTCAGCTGAAATAGTTTAACTGGCTGCCCTGCAAGATAACATACAGCTGAACCACCAGGACTCCAAACTTTACATCTGGCTTGCTGTTGAATTCAGTCTGAGAATTTTCCTTCTTCCATTGCTTGTTTCATTTCACAGCTCTTGGTTCCACATATGCGGTTCACAATAGCCATCAACACCAAAGCTCGAGAACAGCTTATCTGTGAATGTGGCCTTTTTGACAAGGTAGGTAAACTCTTTGTGAATCTTCATTGTTCATGTCAGTTCATCGTTATTCATGGTTCTTTGTCCTTTGTGGTTCCATACGTACATATCCTTTAATTGTCACATATTGCCTTGTTCCCTGACCTTTCTATTAAAGGGCAAAACATAAGTAATGCCACCCGAAAACAGGCACACAGAACTGATGTCTTGCTGTGCTAAAGATGTTCTTTTACCTCTGAGTAGCCAAATCAGAACTGGCCAATGTCAGTCAGTATCTTGCTCATTGCTGATGTGCTTCTGGGTTATAATACAAGAGTGCACATAAATTCCTGCATATGTATCCACATAGTTAAACCCACAACTTATTTTTAATTAAATTCTGTTATTCATCTGTGAGCAAAGATATTTGTGATTGTAGATGGCCATTTTCATCACAGAAAGACGTGAAGGTAAGACAGATTTCTAAGATCACAAAGAGTGTGTTTGGATTCCAGGCTGTCTTCTTGAGTTGCCCTAAGCAGCAGACCTGCTAGGAATGAGTCTCAGTTTCATCTGAGTCAGTGAAACACAGCTGTATGTCACACCTTTATCAGTGATTTGGGTGAGGGCTGGCATGCATCCTCAGTAAGTTCACAGATGACACCAAGGGGAGAGAAATGGAATGCTGCATCTAGGAGCTGCAATGGCTTGGCACACAGCAGTCTCTGTGAAAACATGCTAGGAGCATCCTGTGGAAGTTTGGGGTGGTTTCAGAAGCCCTTTCAAAGAGAGAGCCTGGGATTCAAGACACCTCTGTCAGGTGTCAGGCACCAGGCCAAAAATATCTTCCTTGCTTCCAAGTTTTTCACCCAAGCAGAATAGAAGGGTTCAATCCAGACTCCTTTCCTTGTTGTCTGTACTCCACTGCTGACTGTGGAGACTTTGCATTGCTTTAAACAGAAATGTCATGTCCATACCCCATGCATGTGGGATGAGTGTGTGGGTAAGACCTGCCAGCAAGGATCTGGAGTTCCAGAATTTGTTGGTTCCAATGCAGACAAAGAACCAGCCAGAGGACAGTAAATGTAAGGTCACAACTGCTACTACACTGTATCATGTACATACATCATATGTATCATATCAAAAGCAACTTTTGGGAACTCTTGCGCAGTGATTATCTGAAGAGTTTTGCTGTACTGTCTGTTGTGGACATGCTGTCTTTTTCAAATTGAACATACACTGAAACCCTGGCCACTCCTCATTAGTAGCAACCCCGCAGGATTGATCTCCTGGCATTATTTCCAGGGTGACTATGGGTAGCCTGCATCCCTAAAAACTTGCTCCTAAACTACTCTGTAACAGCACTGGCAGCTTAACTTAAGCCCTCTTCTGACACTCTCAGGGCTGCCTTCTTTCACACGTGCACTGGTTCTGGAGCACAGCACTGCAGGGAGTGCCATGCTTTGATGTTGCTGTATTATATTAGTGTACTCCAGTATAAGCAGTACCTGGGGTGCAAATGTGGATATTAACAGTGACTCATGGGAGAAGTGTGAAATCCCTGAAGTCAAAATGTACAGTTCCAGTAGACCTCTGTGCTTTGGTACTTTGTGTAGAGACACGGTTTTCTCCTTGAAAAACAGATTCACCAGCATTCTGTTTCCCATCTCCTGCAAATTTGTAAAGCCAGTCTTGGCACAAAGGGAGCATAATCTCCTACTGTTCCCATCTTGCTGTTCTTCCTGCAGGCAAATGCTACGGGTGGAGGAGGACATGTACAAATGGTGCAGAAAGCAATGAAGGATCTGACTTACAGGTCCCTCTGCTTCCCTGAGGAGATCAAAGCTAAAGGAATGGACAGCAAGGAGGACATCCCCTACTACTATTACCGGGATGATGGCATCAAGGTCTGGGAGGCTATAAAGAGGTAAAAGACCATAGTTCTAGATATTGGCTAATAAAGTCACCGAGACACAGACCTCATTTTTTTCCTGCTCACTTTGATCTTCATCACATAAACAATATCTGGGCTGGTTAGTCATGTAATGCCTTTTTCATCCAGTATATCTCATCCGAGGAAAATTATTTAGTCAAGCACATACTCTTTAAAGAGTGCTAATTCCTGCATTTTTCAGTGCTGTTTCCTTGCATTCAGTATTTCAGAATTTACAAGTATGTACTCTTCTATAGAGTTTCACAGAAGTTTAGTGAGTTGGAATTCAGCCTGCAGAAGGAGTTTAGTTATCATTTTTTTCAGCTGTGTACAAGCCAAAAGAGGACTCAGTTCTCTAAGCCAGCCATGTGAGCTCATCAAGGTTCCTGTGGACTGAAAATATAAGCTTGGCTTCCATGATGGTTCTCTTTTGAAACTCAGTAAATTAGGTATAATATAACTGGAACAAAACCTTTCTTAAAATGCCTTAAAATTGCAAAGTCTGAGTTTAATCAGGAAGGGCAGCAGCTCTGAGTAAGGAGAGGTACTGCAAGGCTGCTTGACCACACAAACATGGCTCCTTTTCACATCTGAAACACTGCCTTGGATGATTTATATGGTTTTTATTTTGCAATGGCATTTAACAAACAGCATATTTTTGCCTGGCATAAGTTGCTTACCAAATATGCAGCTGTTTCTGATCACATGACTTTTGAAAAGCATTTTCATTAAAAATCAAATCTTTTGTGTACACAAAGTAGGACTTTTATGATGCAAGCATAATGTTGGAAGTTCTGGGGACATCTTTGTCTCCTGTGTTTTCTCTGGTTTTTGACAAGGGCTTATCTTTCAATATTTCCTGCAATTGTGAGTGCCAATTTGAGAGAAAAGGGAGTTGTAACTTTGCTGTGGTTGTTTTCTTCATGTATTCAATTTCTTTTTGTCCTTCTTCTCTTTCCTGTGTTTTCTTTGCAGATTGAGATATGCCTTTCAAATACCAGGTAGTACTTAGTCAACTCAGTTTGACTGTTTGTGGGTGTTAACCTTGCTAGAGGATGATGTTACACTGCCCCAGTCTTGGCTGAGAGTTGTGAATCATTTGGTTTATAAATGGTGTGGGCATATTGAGTGTGTGAGATGATGACCCATGAACCCATGGTCATGCATGTGTCTGCTCACTAGGAATCTCCTACTCTCTGCAGGGGTATCAGTCTTCACTTTTTGATGAAATAATTTATATCTCAGCATTACTTCACATGTTGTAGATGGCCTAGACCCAAGGAAACTCTTAAGATTGTTCCCACAGAAACAATGAGTCTCACACAGCAAATTTGCCAAGTCCTCTAGTCCTCTTCCTATTTCTGATCTAACTGCAGATAGATACACCAGCCCAAAGATACTTCAGCCCAGAAGGTCTCACCCACACTTCATATACTAATTTCTGTTTTTGTGGAAGGGGGTCTGAAATGCTTTCATTTTCTGAGAGGAGGATCCCCTTCCTGTATCACCTGGCACCAGTGCCAAGTGCATGGAGACAGAGCTCATGGAGAGCAGCTCTCTCTCTGCATGTTGCAAAGTTTTTATTTTCCTTAAACTTCCTCTGGAAGCTAAAATTACTTAAACTTTTGGTGTTTATGCAGTTATTTCTCTGCCTCAGTGACAACTCTTGATTGGCTAATAGGAACTACATTGATAGATTTGTAAAAGTCTCCAAATTGCAATAAATTTATAAAATGTATAAATTTATATTTTATTAAGGGATAAATCTTTGTTGGATAACAATTCTCAGTCACATCAGTCAGCTTTTACAGTCAAGTGTTCCACTCTATGGACTGTCAAAATATTTGGCAAGAGATTTAGCAAGGTAACTGCAGAGCTAATGGAGTATCTCAGCACAGCTGCATTAACCAGTCATTTGGTCATCAAATGCAGCTCTTTCAGGAAATCAGGATTACCTATTTTCACTGCTTTCAAAACTACTTCTGTTATCTTATGTTTTAAGATAACAGATTTTAAAATGTTGTAAGAGCCTTGCTTTCAGAGGTGAAGCTAGCCTGGGAAGCATTTACAGGAAGAGGCATCTTGAGAAGAGGAACTGAACAGGAGGCAGATATCTGCTGTAAAAAGTGGGTGTAGGAAATAGCTCTAGACCTCTTCTTCCCAGGAGAAGTTTCCTGTGCCACTTAAGTATTTCACAAAAAGCATGTCCAGTAGGAGGGGTCAACTGCTGGCATTCAGGAGCAGCTTTGGAGTGTCCCACATACAGGGAATGGTACTGGTATCAGAGTTTGGGACCCCACTGCCCAGTGTAGGAGCCATGTGGATATGCAAGAGGGAGGCTGTGTGGAGTGAGGACATGATGTAGATGTAAATGCAGAGGTCTGTGCAGGAGCAAAGCCTCAAATAACGGGACTTTTCAGTGTGGCCCAGGAACTTTTTGTTGGGGGAAGAAGTGATACTGCAGTCCTAAATGAATCAAAGTTGCTTCTGTTCATTCCCACCACTTACAGGAAGAAGATATGAGAGTTTTGAGACCTTCTCTTGCCCTTCTTTCTTTCTCCATGTAGCATCTGCAAGGTCAGAAGATCATCTTCTGGAATGGCAGATTGCATTTTCCTTTTCATTTTGTTTTGTTCATTTGTTCCTGTCTGCAGTTTTGCAGAGGATGTAATTCACATCTACTATGAGAGCGACGAGGTGGTGTGTGAGGATGTGGAGCTCCAGGCCTTTGTCAAAGACATTTATGTCTATGGAATGAGGGGCGTCAAAGCCTCAGGTAAGGTGTGAGCCCAGGCAGGTCTGCAGCTTGTCCAGTCCCTGCTGACAGCAGTGCTGAGTGCACAGCACAAGTTAGAGACCCTTTCTCTCCTTGGCCTGAAGATGCTTGGTTTTACTGTGAGACCCTGGCTCAGGCCATCTCTCAGGAGATAGCTCCTTCCTTTGACACAGATTCCCATAATCAGCTTGGGCAACTTGTGTAATCTCTCTACACTGGGGACAGGTCCTTTGCTTTTGTCTGCTCATGCTTTAAGCTTTAGGAGGTGTGTCTGTGTGTGTTGGAACCACCAGGCAGACTGATAAAAATGAAGAAGCAGCGAGGTCCCTTGAATCCTTTCCTCCAAACCTCACACCAAATAAGAACATGTAAGAATCTCCCCAGGAGTATATTGCTGCATTTTACATTTGTTCAGCATTTGTGCCATCACTGAACTATCCTGCTCTCTTCAAGAAAAAATAATTATTTCCAAAAAATATTCTTCTTTGTTCTGTCTCTTCTCACTGCCTCTCTTTTCTTGCAAACCATTACTTGGCCATGAGAGCTCTCATCCATAACATGGCTCAATTTGCCCACCTGAGTAAATACTCCCCTGTTGTTCCCTAAACTTGTTGATTTTCTCTTCCACACACATTTTTTCCAAGCAGATTTTCAGGAATTTATATATGTGGCTGGGTATTCTTCCTATTGTCCTGTCTGATTTACAACTGTCAACACCTGTTGGCCAGTGACCATGGGCAGATGGCTCTGGTGTTGCAGGTGCACACTCTGGAGTGCCAGATGTCCAGGCAAAACTGTGATGTTCCCAATCATTATGTTCTAGTGGATAAAAGGCTTCTGGGTTCTATCTGCCTGGACAAGCAAAGGTTCATTTTTGTTTGTCTAGTTGTCTCTTAACAAAAGTTTAGAAATTATGTTCCTCCTGGTAAGAACATCATGCTTGACCTAAACATCTTGATATGGGACAAACACTGAGCCTTTCCAGGGCTCCAGCTGGGGTGGGATGCTACAGGCACCACTGGTGGGAGGACTGCCACTACAGATGGGAAATCTACCAGGCTTGTAGCATCTCTTTCTGCACTGCTGCTGCTCCAAGGGTTGTATCACAGAGAAGGGAGCTTTGGTGGGGTAAGTAAAGAATGGGAGGAGGCTAAAAGTGAGGGAGGCTGTGGCACCTGTTTCTGCCCTGGGAGGGCTGCTGTGATTGGGAGAATGCCAAAGTCTTTTAAAGATGAGCACAGTATACATAGAATAGCAGTACACAGGAGGGGATGGAGCATCCTCCCCTCTTTGGGCTTGGTGGCTGGCCAGGGGTACCTCTTCCCTCTCTCAGGCTGAGTTCACATCTGCGTCAGGTTGGCAGTGGAGAGATGAAGCAGCTGGCAGAGGCAGCCTGGGCAGGGGCAGCTTGCCATTGTCTGCAGGTAGAGTGGGACCTGTGGCCACTATGGGCTGAGACAGGGGGTGCAGTGCAGGACTGTGATTTAGTGAGGATGGGAGTGATACAGGCCTGGGGTTGCTTTGGTTGCAAAATATTTCCCTAGTCCCTGACTATTCTGTTTTTTCTTTATATAACTCTGATCATTCTCCTTCAAAGACAGCTTAATGCAACTATTTCTGTTCCTCATTCTGTTGTTTGTCTTTCAGAAGTTCTCATTTCCTCACTTCCCATTTCAGCGAATAAACTCTCCCTGCACTCTTTCTTGCAATACGTTTGATTGCTGAACCTCAGACCTTTATAAAGGCAAGCACATGGTCGCTTCCTCCTTGCCATGAACCTTCCCTGCTCGCACTGCAGACTGAAGAGAAATGGAATATCTGAGGTCCCTGCCCTGGGGACTCTGGGAGTTCCTTGCTGCAGGGTAGGTAGGACAGGGACAGTGTTTTTTAAAGGCATAATTATACTTTGTCTTTTCCTTATGGAAAACCACACACTTTGCAGACAGTGGCGATGCTTCACAGGCTTGTGAGAAGTAAGGCTGTTTTTACAGCTGCACAGCCAAGGCACAGAGAGGTTGAGGAGCTCCTGTTAGCCCACACAGCAAGATTCATAGAATGCCCTGCTCTTCAGTGACTGCTGCATGGCCCTCTAACCCCTGTTTTCTGATTACTACTGGGTGGCAGGATTACTTCATTGCTGGGTTAAGCTTTTCTTCTCCCTCATTTAGGGTTCCCTAAGATGATCAGGACACGAGAGACACTAGCAGAATACCTCACAGTGATCATGTTCACTACATCGGCTCAACATGCAGCTGTGAATTTTGGTCAGGTAGGAATTTGTGGGAAGACTGTTCTTCTTTCTGGGCTGGGAGGTACATCTACCAGGGAGGGGTCTGAGAAGCATTTTTTAGTAGATGTACAAAATTACATTACTTTTTCTGGTCAAAATAACTGCAAACCCATCTACAAATCCCTGTGAAGTCTGTGGAAACTGAACTAATTTGGAAGCTGAGAAAGGCATTTAAAGTCCTACATATGTACCAAAGATCAGATATGGGGTTCAAACTCATATATTTTAGTTTTGTTGTTTTTATTATGTGAATAATTTTTTTAGCATTTAAATGGCATTGCTGCTCATTTCTTGAGTTTACAAGCCAAGTGGCAACTTGGAGGTTCCTGTGTGATGTTTAATGTGTCACATAACCTGTGTTATCCTTGCCTGCCTTGACTAATATATATCTGTCCTGAAACAACCTGCCTTTCAAGTGCTATTTCTTTCAACATCAAGGCATTTTGGAAAGCAGATTTAACAGCCAGAAGCAAACCAATTTGTCAGTCACAGAGCTTTTTCACTGAGTGGGTGCAGGCTCCCCAGGGAAGCGGTCAAGTTCCAAGGTCAGTTCCAAGCCTGTCAAAGTTCAAGGAGCATTTAGATCATGCTCTTAGTCTGATGGTTTAGTTTTAGGTAGTTCTGCAAGGACCAGGGAGATGGACTAGATGATCCTTATAGGTCTCTTCCAACTTGAGATATTCTATGATTTTATGAGCTGTGTTTTTTTTTTTTATTTTTGGCATGTTCTTGCTTCAGGCATAGGTGGTCTCTGAGATGTGATCTCAGAGATAAGCAGAGAGACCATCTTTCTTATGGTGGTTATTCCCAAGTACCCTGTGTCACTTTCTATGCTGACCCTCCTGTCCACCCCTGCAGCTCAGGAGCCCTGGAGAAGGTCTGGAACCTGGTGTCAAATGAACTCAAACTGTTGCTGTGACATGTCCATGACCAGAGACCTCTGCAACTACTCCCTTCTAACTTGTCTTTACAACTGGTTGAAACAACTTCCAGTGCCCCCCTCAGAATATCCTGTCTGTTCAAGTACCACCAAGAAGCCATCTCTTAATTTGGCATGCAGAGGATATGCAGCCCATCAATAAAAAGATCTTCAGCCATGGAACCAAAAGGCAGAGAGGGCTGAGGGGAGGAGGAGGAGGTGGCTGTGCACTCCCCCTCAGACAGAGCAGGGTATATGTATGAAGGTAATGAGAAAGTGCTTGGGAAAGAAAGAGTTCTGGTGACTGCAGCACCTTAGATGGTGACAAAGCTCAGGGTCATACCTGAGGCAAAATGAGACATCAGCATCTCACAGCACTGCACCAAGCCAGAAGTGACTGTGATTCCCAGTCTGCTGCTCACTGTGGCCATAGCTGCATGTCATATTCCATATTTCTTGATGAATCACCATGCTTTATCTCTGTTAGTATCTGACCACATGGGCATTCACTGTGGGCATGTTCTTGGAGGAAATAGAAAAGAGAAACTGGAGTAAAGGTGATCACCTCAAATAATCAGAAGGGAACTTTTTTTAATAAAATATTTAAGGGCTTAGCCAGTCTGATGAATCTGGGCTGTGTGGCACATGCCTGTGGTTATCAGAATAAATACCCCCATTGAGATTACCCAACTCTCTCTCTTGTGAGTTCCTGAGCAAAACAGTACGGACTTCCTTGTCACCTCCAGTCCTTCCCTAGAGCATCTCCTTGCCCTTAACATCTTCTCTGTCTGAGTAGCTCATATTACAGAAGCAAACTCCCTGTTGGCAAACTCCTGATTTTCTTTGGTGTGTTCCTAAATACCAAGCACAGCAGGTTTTCACTGTGGTCTCTTGCTCTTTTGTGCAGTATGACTGGTGTTCCTGGATTCCCAACGCCCCTCCAACAATGCGCTGCCCTCCTCCAACAGAAAAGGGGACCGTCACCATCGAGCAAATCGTGGAGAGTCTGCCAGACAGAGGACGTTCTTGTTGGCATCTTGGGGCTGTCTGGGCCTTGAGCCAATTCCAGGACAAAGAAGTAAGTCAAGCTCCCTGCTCTAGGTGCCAGAGATGTGAGACCATGAGGGCCGTGGCAAGACTGCACAGACTCATGAGACTGTTGTCCTGCCCTGTGCCTGACTTGGCCATTTTCACCTTTCTGTGGAGATGTGTCATTGCTGGGGTTTGCCTGTGTTCTGTCAGATGCAGACCAGCCCTGAGCAAGAAGCTGTGTTTTTACTCTGAGGCTGTCTCAGCCATAATCAAAGTTTATAAGCTTGAGGATGGCATTGCTGAATAAGGATGCTGGTGTGGGAGCCAGAGGGCTTCAGAGGCATAAGGGTTTTCTCCATTCCTTGTCCCTGCAGTGCTGGGGAAGAAGGTACAGCAGCACTGTGTCCCCATGTCCTGTTCCTTTGGAAAATCTGCTCCAGTGCCATGTGCACTGCAGCTGTGGCTTGTGCCTGGTGGGTGAGGAGTGAAAACAAAACAAGCCTACAGAAGGCTTTGCAGGCATGGTCTGTGGCCATTTCCCTCATGTAAAATGAGGTTGTAATTACTTGGTTGTTTCACACAAGGGTTCTGGAAAATGTGTTTAGAAATCACTAAAGAGAAGATGATGGACAGAGGGTACTTTAAATTCAGTTTCTCTATAAGAAGACAGCAGTACTAGCAGAGAAGCTTGTACTGTGGGGAAATAGTTCCCAAAGTTCCCAAAGCAATGCCAGTGTGCATATTGGCACTGCACTTTTCAGAGCACCCTTAGAGTCCATGCTGACTAAAGCAACTGTCATACTGAACTCTGGAGGACAGTTTTAGGTCAACAGAATCTTACATTGTCACTGAATGAAGCAGTCATCTTCCTTTTAAATCTCTGGCTGTGAATTCCCCTCTCATGCTATCCTTTTTTCTAGCAGCATAAATGTTTGTGTGGCTATACAGAGATCTGGCATAGGAAGCTGGTCTGACTGACCACTGGCCTGAAAAAAAGTGCATGGTTTTCAGTGGATGAGGTCTCTTTAGGTCAAGGAGTGCCATGTAGACACCTGAACCAGCACCACAGAAAGGTGCAGGGATGGAAGGAAGCAGACAGCAGTAAAGGGAAGGTGTAGGCTAGCTTAAATATTGATAATACTATTTTAATAGAAGCATTTGTGAGGCGAGGCTCTGGGTGGTGTTCTGCCAAATGGCATAATGTTGAAACAGAATTGCCTTTTCTTTCTCAAAGCATGATTTCTTGGTGTTTTTCAATTAGCTGTTTCTGGGCATGTACCCAGATGAACACTTCGTGGAGAAACCGGTGAAAGAGGCTATGGCAAAATTCCGCAAGAATTTGGATGAGATTGTCAACACCATCACCGAGCGCAACAAGAACAAAAAGCTTCCTTACTACTACCTTTCCCCAGATCGTATTCCCAACAGTGTTGCTGTTTGAGCACATAGCCAGGAGAGTTTGAAGACCTGTAAAGCTAATGATGTTTTTCTGTTATATGCCTCTTCAATTAGCTTTTCAGAAATGGATAAGAAATCCACCCTCTCCATCAGAGCTTGCTTAAGTCTATTTGAACTTTCAAAATAAATTTGGTTATTACCAATCTTGCAAATAGAGTCTAACTGACAACCTTCTAGGTCAAATTTGTTACAAATTTATTTTTCCAGGATTTTTAAACTAACCTTAGAATCGATATACATGTTTCTGTTATCTTCCCCTCTCCTTGTCAAAACAATGTGATCACAGATTCACATACTTAATGGAAATAGTATCATGAGCAATGTGCAAGTCACATTTTAAAATCCTTCCTGTTTTTAATAGGTGACACAGGGGACATAAAAAAATAGAACATTTAAAGTTTATGCATTGTTTTGAATCAGATCAATGTCAAGTATTTTCGCTACCATCACGAATATCCTAATCAGGATGAAGGTAGAAGCAGGAAATTTTCTTGACACAGCTGATGGGGTTTTATCACTTTCTTACCAAGCTCATGTGAAATGACATCTCACAGGAGATGAAAATTTTGTAGCTACTTAAACTTAAGTATTTTCTACATAAAACTAGGAAGGTTTGTTTTAGCCTCTGCCAGCAGAATTTGATGTCATGTTTGATTCACATGTAGAGAGAAATGTTCTGCTTAAAGCAGTGTCAACAAGTACAGACCTAGCAGCACTTATGCTCTGTTTCATTGCTGAGGCTGCTGGGTTTGTGGACAATTTCTTCTGTTTTGTGGGGAATGAAGAAGCTACTTTGTATAATGGAAAAATTTGTGGAGAAGGCTTGATTGACAGCTTCTAAGAGGAATCTTTAGATTTGGCCAATTAAGCATAACTGGTACATTCCATCTTAGTTATAAACCACTGAGTTTTGTCTGTTTTGTTTAGAGCTGTTTACGTTCAAACACTTGGGCTCTGGTAGAAGTTGAGGAAGTCACTGAGAAAAGCAAAATTGCGGTTTGTGAAATTTAAAAGTTGTGGTTTTGCTGATTAGAATTTGGGTTTATTTTTCTGAGAATTTGTCCCTTGTACTTAATCTGCCAGCATTCAGTGCATTTTCTCAATAGCTAAGAAGTTTCTTGTGCTAATAAAACAAAACTGAACATAAAATTTCTATTTCCTAATTCAGCATCTAATGCTGTATGTCTCAAAAACCTTGTAAGAATAAACAAAACATGCTTTGTAGAGAAATGAAGCTTATATCATTGACAAATACAGTTATTTGTATCATTCATGTGTGATTTGGAAAAGAGTACTACTAAAATATACATCCTTTCATATGAAACAAGTGTGAAAAGTGATTTTAGACCCTTCACAGCAGATTGATTCCCCTTTTTTTTCCCCCCAACCAAAGACTTTGAGAAAAATATGGAAGGTAAAACCATTTCCTGTTTATGATTTTTGCATCGCCTTCTCACTGCAGCCCATGAGAAACGATGAATGTAGAAGCAGAGTAAAGCAACATGGAATAGGACCAAGGAATTAGAAACTTGAGAGCCCACTGCCTTGAAAACAGAAAAGTGCAACTTAAATGCAACGAGCTGATGCAATATATCCAGCATGCCAGCTCTAACTTTCATCTTTCTAGTATGTACAGAGAATGTCCTCTTGCTTCATTTGATAATGATTGGCATAGTCAAGTATCTGTTTGGAAAACAAAATATGGAAGGAGACTGGTGGATGTTCTCTCACATCTGTGCACTCTGCTGTAGCCTGTGGACCGGGGGTACAAGTTGGTTGGTTGACGGGAGGTTTGGGGAATTAAATGTGTATCTTTGAAAACTGGCATTAGAATCTGATTAGATGGCAGGAAAGGCTGTGGAAAGAGGTAAAGAGGTTAAAAGTAATACTGGCACCAGAAAAGAAGCAGATACTTGCAAATAGTGAAGTGCTTACTCTTCCAGGGTGTCTGAGCATTCATGCTGCTATCCCACTCTCAGCTCCTTTTTCAGTGTGTCTCCATCAGAAAGTCACCTCCCTGGGCATGGGCCATGGGTTCCTTCCCCACATCTTTAGCCATGACTTGCTCAGAGGTGTTTCCTAAGTCATGGTACTAAGGTGTACCCACTTGCAGGTTCTCTCCTAGGTGGAAATGAAAGTACCAGCTCTCTCTGAAGTGTGTCATGCACTCAGCTCAGACATGGAGCTGGATGTGCATCAGCCCAGCTCTGACAGGGTTTTCCAGCCAGTAGCTTGTGTCTTGGCTGGATGGCTATTGCTACTGGCCAATGTAGCCTGACTCTTCAACTCAGTCTCCCTTGCTGGAAAATCAGTTGCAGTGATTCTCACTGGCTGGAAGATTGAACTAGTTTCAGGAAGCTGGTTCAGGAAGTCCTGCCAGCATATCTGAACTTGCTTTCCTCTTTTTGCAGGGTGAATTTAACTCTATAAACTAATTTTGGGATTGTCCCTTTCCCAACTCTCAAGCATTCCTTGCAACAGTATGATTCTCATTGCCCCTAAAAAGAAAGGCCTCTTACTTCTTAGTCATCCCATGGGAAGTAAGCTACCCTTTTCCTATCTATCCCCATTTTACATGTGGGGAAATGGAATAAGAGCAATAAAATTCAGTAGATCAGCTCTAATTTGAGGTTCTTCCTTTCTAGAGAGAGCATGAGAAAGTTGTGTATCTGAAGCATGCTAGTTTTATGCTTCTAGAGAGCAGACAACAGGTGCAGGCCTGGCTGCTTGGAATTACTTGCTCTGTTGCATGTTGAGCAGAATATAAACCCCAAAAGATGTGTTTCTAACTAGCAAGCTTCAACCAACAGCTGCTCTTTCCTGCTACAGTAATAGCGATGTGGTATCTAGGAAGAAATTGCACACACTGAGATAGTATCACAAGGGCGTAGTTTTCTTTATTTATACTATAAAAAGGCATAAATATTTTGCAATCTGATGTGGCTGGTACATTTAGAGGTTAACTGAGTCATGGTCTTTTATGGCCAGAAGATGGGGGTTTGATTGCTTAGACTGATCTCATCATAACACAGGCATTTGGATTTCCCTGAAGCATTTCCCTCTTCAAATTCAATACAGGGGTGCTTGATCTAGGAGTCATCTGTGAGATGATGTACCAAGACATGACTCACCCTGGTGCTTGAGACACTTGTCTCACTGGTGAATTCCTCCTGCTGTGAAAGATAAATGCTGTGTTTCTAGATCAGTGTGCATTCTAGCTCCACATCTTGCAACAGATGGCATTCTTGCAGCAGCCTTGTGTGACTGAAGATCCTTCTCTGACCATGTTCCCTACTACATGCTTCCCCTTTCTTTTGATAAACTGAATAATTTCCTGAGTCTTTTGCTGTAAGACTTATCTGTTAACCACTGTGTGCACAGCGTGTGGGCAGATGACAATGATGATTAAATGGCTATTTCAGTCATTATTTCACAGGCTGCATTTCCTCATGCTTGCAACTGTGTATCTGCAGTTTTTCCATAGATTTTTGTCACAAACCGCACAGCAAATTATCTGTGTAGCTGAACAAATTTCCTGTTTGTGCGTATGCAAGCAGAGGACAATACCTTCAGGGAGTAAAAGAAATACTGAGTTGTTCAAATATTTCCTTCTTAGAATTGAGTGGGGACCTGGACTTCAGTAGGTCCCTGTCAAGCTTCAAATTCAGCATGCTGTATATCCAGCAGCCTTTTAACTTTAGATTTGCAGTGTTTAAAATCCAATACTTGGTGATTAGGCTCAATCTCTAATTACATAGCTGAGTTGCTGTAGAATCGTAGAGTAGTTTGAGTTGGAAGAGACCTTGAAGATCATCTAGCGCTAACACCCTGTCACGGAGGGTTCTATCATCAATGCTAGAAATATTTAACTTGTATTTACCTTAATCAGGGTTTGCTCTAATGTTCATTCAGGCTTTTGTCTACCTGTATAGAGCAGAATACAGCAGAGATTTCTGGGGAGCCTAGAGTTACGTGGAGCTGTGCAAGATACAGCAGAGAAACGCCTTAAACTCAGTGCAATTACCACAGTCTGTCAGCAGTGGGAATTAAACATCCTTTAATACAGGACACTGAAGAACCATTTCATTCCCAACTTGGTGCTTGTTGTAGAGCTCCTCCTTCACTCTTCAGTGCCTTGTCTGAGCACTTCCCTCACATGCATGAAGTGACTAATGTCATGTGCAAACTAGCAGCTGCTGCGTGTCGATCCTCCCTCTCCCCTTGCTGCCTTTTCACAATCCCCTTCAGGAGAAATCCCATAGGCAGGTGGTGTGTTGGTCTTCCTGCAGACATGGCAGCAGAAGGTCCTTTTGTCTCTGGGGGAAGTACAGCAGTGCCACTGTCTCTGGGGGAGCTAAAGCACTGGATGATTCTCATTTAAATGGCTGCAGATACTTTATAATGCAGTGCTCTTTGTTACAGCCTGCTGCTCTCAGATGGATCGTCTGCTTCACTTGACCAGTAAGCTGAGCCATGCCATTTGTCTCAAAGATACTGCAGTCATGACAGCAAGGGGAGCTCTTTCTGCCTCAGGCAGTATCAAATACAGACTCCAACCTTCATTTTCTTTCTGGCTCTAGGGTCAGGTCTAGACAAGCTACATGACATAATGAGCCAGTTCTCACTCATCTGTGAGGAAAATGTTACAGGGATCATTGTCAAAGCTGGTTGGTAACTTTTCAGATCTGCCACCTTCATGTTTTTTGCATGTTCTAGAGAGATGTGTCTGTGGCACTGTCTGCTGCCACTCATACCTTCTAATGGTTAGCAGCCATCAATCTTCAACAGTAATCAACAATTAGCATTAGCCACTACCCTAATAATTATAGGCTAATCTGTCTGAGGACATGTTTGCCGAAAAGCAGACATGCATGGTGACAAAGCCAACCTGGTAGGCTGATGATCAGGTGTCACAAAGTGTTTGGGTAAAGCTTTGAACAGTTTGGCTTCGGTGCTTGCCTGGTCACCACTGAGCTCCAAATGGTAGAAAAGCTGTGTTTCATCAGGCCTCAAACATGCAGATCTGGTTTGCCTGGCCCTGGGGAAACATCAAGTCAAAGGCAGACTTCCTACCCTCCTGTGCTTGTGGGAGGTATGTTAGTGTTGCCTGGTTTTCACCTGGCCACTGCATTTGACCCAATGTAAACAATCACATTAACAGGCTTCCTTGTGGACTGCAGAAAATCAGAGGTGATTTTGGCGTGAAAAAAAATGGGGGTTTTACATTTTAACCTAGAAGCAATGGATTTACACCACTGGAATCCTACTTAAGCCTGGTTTGTATCAGTATTTTCAAGCTGTTTCATCAGCAGCATTTCACAGCAGGTTTTCCTTGTTTGGGGAATAAAAGGCCATCTGGAAGCCTTCTCCTTCCTAGGAACTGTACTGCTGAAACATTACTTTTCTGGCATCATTAGATGTCAAAGGCTAATGAGTGCTACATGATTTAAAAGTGGGGTTACTGGTACTTCTGTCTGCAGAGTGGAAGTGAGTAGAAATAATCAATAAGCATGGCCAAGGTTTAGGTATGTTTCTTCTCCCTTTGTTTTACAGGCCTAACTTGACAGGAAAGATATGAATAGTTCTCAAAGTATGCATGAGAAATGTTTCTAGAAAGAAAACTTTCTTATAACTACTTGTGTCTCAAAAGGAAACCAGCAGATCCGGGTAATAAAATGGATGTGGGAGGCTTTGCAAAATACATGTACTGAAAGCAGAGGCTCTGAAGAAAGCAGTGACAGAACAGGTTTGAGCTGCATTTGGGTGACCCACAGAAAAGTCTGAGGCTTTGCTGAAGTAATGGACCATACTCAGATGTACAAATTGATTGAAGCAGCTAATGACAAAATGTCTCTCCATAACATTTTTGGGAGTTACATAGGTGGAGATCCAGAAAGTATGTTTGGGAATAAGCCAGCAACTCACCCACAGTCTGGATATGTTCTGGGTGAAGGTTCTTGGCTCTGTTTATGTGAAAAATCTCCCAGAACGGGTGTTACAAATCATGAAAAGGGAATTTCTGCTTCAGCATTTGACCCAGTGTGTGGAAAACTGCCAAAAGAGACTCAGTGGGACTGACCACATGTGATGGGGCAACACTAAAAATTCAAGATTTTATAAACACTGACATCTTGTGAAACCAATTCCTGAAAGACCTCAGAAGTTATGTGAATCCTAGTATCATAGAATATCCTGAGGTGTTAGGAATCCACAAAGCTCACTGGGCCCAAGTCCTGGCCCTGCACAGGAAAACCCCTGAATCACACCATGTGCATGAAAATGTTATGCAGCTGCTTCTTG